CCTTTTCTCCACCTCTACGGGGGTCTCCAGTATACCCTTCGCTGTGACCTTGGGCTGCGCGGCCGTCCAGATCGTACGCAAGCACTTGTAACGGTCTTGAAGGATTTCCCTGAAATACGCCTCTGACCTCTGGAATGGCCACTTCTCTTCATCGCACCTTTTCTGTATTTCTTCGAGGAGTACATCAATAATCTTGCTATTCCAGGGGGTTTTGGATCCATTTTTTAGATCAAAGGTAAGATTTTTTAGATCGGGACCTGGACCATCTTCGTATTCATATGAGTAGACATCCTCGCGACTCGCCGCCTCATGGACTATGAAATCGGTATCCTGAGTGATCTTGAAAACATCTTTCAACAAACGCCGCACTTCTCCCTACTTCAATGTAAGGGGAATCAAACTCGATACTATGTTGCGGCTTACCAGAAGAAAATCTCTTTCGCAGCTCAGTTTGGCAGCCTTCTCTCGCCGAATTTCTTCATCCTCTATCTTTTTCTTCTGGGGACTGCGTTTTTTGACGAGCGGGAAGTCTTTCTCGATGAGAATGCGCCTCAGCGCGGCCTCCACACCTCTTGCAATCGCATCTTCCATAGGTGAAGTGTCATGTTGTTGACGTGGTGCATCTTTCTCGAATGATTGTTCTTGATGGATTTCCTGCATGTCCGCCTAGTATCATGAGTTTACATCATATCCAACAATATACCAGACACTCACCTCCGCAGGTACTGATAAAAGGCGAGTCCTGCGCGATATTCCACGAATTCTCTTTAACTTCTTGATGGTATCAAGGCATGGGGTACCTGACGATGGCTTTGCGGATGGACGGGGGCTGTCATCCATTTCTGTATCCCTATCCGGTAATCTGTAACTCCTGGAAAACCGCTGTTCCATGTTGGCCAGCTCGCTTTCTTTTTCCGCCTGGGGCATTTTCAGCATACTCATCAGCCACGAATCAATATCCTCACCCTCAACTTATCGACTTCGGACTTCAGCCTCTGCTCCATCTCGCCGAATCTCGCTTGCTCGCGTTCTAGAAACTACGTGGTTGTCATTGACCACCTTTCGTGACAAGTTATTCACCTTACCTCTTCCTCTTTCTTTCTATTGAACTCTTCTTCACGCTGAGCTAGTTCTTGCTCAAAGTGTTTGCGACTATCCTCTAGAATTTTCTGCACTGCTAGTTTCTACCGCCTCGCGATTCGCAGTGGCCGACCGCTTCACGACTTCTCATATAATCTTCAAGCTGTTGGTGCTGCTCGGCGCGGCTAGCCTTGTCACCGTCATCAACGGGTGTCTGTCGTTCGAGCGTCCAAATGATTTACCTCAAATTCTTTGGTGAGTTGCGCTTCCCGCTCTCTCAGAGCTACTTCCCACTGTTTTCTGATATCTTCCATGCTGGACAAATGTGCTTGTTGTAGGTTTTGAGCTTCCTACACGGCCGTGAGCCAGATATCCGTAATGTCTAGTGAGCTTACTACGAACCATTTGCATCTCACGTCTCATGTGGTTGATCTGTTCCGTTTGACTGTACACCGTTTCGCGCAGTTCCGCCGAGTAATCTACTTCCTTGATACGACACTTATCTGATACCTGGACAGACACTGAGCTCGACATTAACCTTATACACCCGGACGTACCGTCTTGAACCTTTTCTCCTTATCAAAACTAGTTGGGGGCTGTCCGGTGACATCATCTAGGTCCATCCGTGATGCCTCCCTCTTGTCTATCTGAGTCGTCCTTGCTAGACTGAAGTCTATATGATTTGCGGTTTGAAACGCGGCAGCATCTTCCATATTGTCTTCCATGTCGTCATCATCAAACAAGTTCGCATCATAGGATGTTTGGATGTCTTCCTGTTCCAGCTGTGGCATGTTAATAGGGTTGAGTAAGAAGAGTGTAGCGTCAACGTTAGTTTCTGGGCTCCATACGCGTTATCCCACTTATATGCAACCCTAACAATTAAATCGTGATATCATCGCATCCGCTTTTTGGGTGTTCTGTATTGTGAACGACGTTGCACGATTCTCACTTTTGAGGCTAGGCTGCAGATGTTCGGGGGCAATAGTGCCATTTTTTTACAAACAAAAAAGTCAGTTTACAAAGTCTTAAGTCTGAGATCAGGTGGGCTTATGATACTCTGCTAGATTATTGTCCGTGGTTGCTTCATTCCATGAAACAAATAAAGATGACGAATTCAGCTTGCAGAATACTCCGTGCGGAGCGTGCTTTGGGGTTAGTAAATACTATAAGATCGCCCGCTCTCATCGCCCACTCTCATCGCCCGCTCTCACCTCCCCAGTTATCTTCAGCGCTGGTCGCCTACAGCTAATTTCATTGGTCATTCCTTTATCTTTATCACAATGGTCAACACTCGCACGTATATCTTACCCACATCGTCGGCAAGTTATCTTAAATTTCTCCTGGTCTTTCGCTTACAGCTTAATCAGACTCTTGAATTCCATGTGCGGTGTAGGCTATATTCTGCATCGTGGAGCAGACCTCGCCAGGTTACCATGCTTACACGATGTTCTGATCGCTCGCGCAACGCGAAGCGCTTTCCCGTTCCCGAGAGCCTCTTAAATGACGCTACTGTACAACCTTACGTACACAACTGTCTTGTCACCCTTCATGAAGGGAGACACATCTATCAGTTCTGTATTTTTTTCAAGCGGCATTGTCATCTGAGAATCAACACCCTTCTCAGCAGCGATGGCAATGTATTCCGAGGTGATGCAGCTATTACTAGGGTTGGCACAAGCGCCGGCTCTGTTGTAAACATGCGGGGAAGGGACAATGCGCTAGCCGACTTTATCATGCACAAGTGAGCAGTACCCAGTGATAATCAATCCCCGCTGATTTAGAATCTATCAGCTTTATACGAAGCATTCGATATCATGGAAAACTACCACGCACTCTCACGCTCGTGAAGCCCTTGAGCGCTCGCGTTAATCATCGGCTGGCTGACAGGTTCATAGTTTGATGCTAGTAGACCGGCAGTTGATAATGTTGAATAAATTTGTGGAGTCAATAAATTGCATAAGATGAATTTCTTGAGTCACCAAATTGAGTACCGAATATCGCTACAAGCCCAAGGTTGACTGGTCACGACAATACAAATCATCGCGCCCCAGAAGTTGAATTGTGACGGTATACGGTATAGATTCAGATTTAGTCACTAAATTAAGTACCTACAAGTCCAAGGTTGACTAGTCATGACAATACAAATTGTCGTGCCTCAGAAGTTGAATTGTGATCCGAGATGCAATGGGAGGATTCGGATCTGGAATTGTCAGAACTCTATTTATATAACCCGTATTACGGCCGTACAGATAGATAGGACATAATATGAGCTCATGGTAACCAAATAAGGAAATAATTTGAGTTGGTCGCAAACACCTCTCAATTGACACTTAAAAAACTTAAATGACTCCTAATATATTGCGCACTTTCTTTCTGTTGACTCCCACACCCACCATCACTCAGTGGTTTTGTACAGCTGGAGGATGGTGTCTTAGGCGATGTCACTTTACGTCACTTTACGACTATTCACCGAGCAGTTTGTACTGCTGGGATGCTACCTTTTCCTGCCATTTGTACCGGGACGACGCTACTTTCTCCCTCACTGCTTCACCAAGCCGTTTGTACTGCTGGAACGACGCTACCTTTCCCTCTCACTGCATCACCAAGCCGTTTGTACTGCTGGGATGCTACCTTTCCTGCCGTTTGTACCGGGATGACGCTACTTTCTCCCTCACTGCTTCACCAATCTGTTTGTACTGCTAGGACGACACTACTTTCTCCCTCACTGCTTCACCAAGCTGTTTGTACTGCTAGGACGATGCTACTTCTTCCCTCACTGCTTCACCAAGCCGTTTGTACTGCTAGGACGACGCTACCTTTCTCCCTCACTGCTTCACCAAGCCGTTTGTACTGCTGGGACGCTATCTTTTGTCTTCACTGCACAATAACAATGGCATCTTGCATTACCGAGATGCTATCTCATTGCATCTTTTACAGGACCCATCAAAATACCTTTGTCGACGTAGCCAGTGACAAATCCGTCGCGCACAGTTTATTCGACCGTCATGATGCACTGTAAACGTAAACTAAGTAAATTGTTACAAGCTCACTTCAACTTTAGTTCGCTTCGACAGGAGCGGGAGTAACATCATTCTTCCCCTCCTTCCCATCACCCAACCTCTTGGCCTTCTTCGACAACTCATCAGAGTCCTCTTCGTCCGGAAGCGCGTTGATGTGCTTGTCGAATAATGAGACCACTTCGTCAAACTCGACCTTCATCCTCTTCTCACTCATGAGGTCATACCACTCCTCTGCTAGAGGAACGAGCTTTTGGAAATAGGGGGCGAATTGTTCTCCAATGCACTGTTTTATCGAATCTCCAAGGAAAAAATAGTGCTTCGCTTCGGCTTTTTGAGTGACTTCTTCTGGCGTACCATGCCATCGCTCTGGTAGCCACATCTCCATTTTGTCAGGATCACGGTCTACGACGTCCTCAAGGCAGCGCTCTTCACCCATAGGTCCCTTGAACATTATGCCAATCCAGGCAAAAACGTAAAACATCGATTCAAGGTCGTCGTGGTATGTATGCTTGATTTTGGGCATCTTTTGGGGAGTCGAATGGTCCGTGGCTAGCTTAAGCTCTTTTACCGACTTCATACCCTGCGAGTATTGATAATTGAGCTTGCCCATTGCCCTAAGGGCGCTGACGGACATAAAGGGTATGGTTCCCTGAAAAATTAGTCATTCATTGCTCACCGAACAAATAAGGCGCCTACTGTTCCACCGGCAGAATACATATCGTCCGATGTGATGCGTGCCGTGAATTCCCAGTCTATTAGCGCCCCTCGACTGCCATATTCGGTGTCTTCTATCATGGAGTTATTTAGACTGCAGTCTCTGTGCAAAACCTGGTGCTCTTCAACTGCACACTTTTGAACTGTGACGGTTCAATCAGATATGTACTAACTAATACGACAGGCTCACTTACTTAGCACAATATCACGTAACGCTTTGACGAGCTCTTTTCTAGTTCGAAACTCGTGTAAAGGACGAGCCCGTGGTTTCAAGACGAGACGGACATGCGTGTGATAGACACCTTGGGTGCTATTATAGATCTTCTGGTGATACATTTGCGTATCGTCGACTTTGCCCGGCTCTACCTCCACGAGACAGTGTTCCACGTATTGGGGAACACCAGGGATATCCTTCAGAGCTTTCAGCATCTCCACCTCATTCAACACTACACTCTTGTCGCCTTTCACCCAATGATCCTTAATAATAAACTCCTCGCCATCTCTCCGAGCCAGGTAGCAAACGGTTCCGCGGCCCACAAGTCCTTGATTGCAGAAGATCACCTTCAGCAAGTTGTATATGTTTTCATTGATGGCGATCTGTCCTATCACATCGTCAACCTCAGCGTCTGTATTCTTGAGATCTGGCGCATCAACAAGGGGAGTGGAGTCTGCCTCAGGCTCATTTGCGAACTCGTCGGGAGACGGAAGATGGTCGGGAAGCGAATGAAACTTTGTCTGTGTGTCCAGTGTGTGAGATTGTGTCAGCACTATCTGCGCATCTAGTGAAGATAGCTTGTGGGGCTTCAGGCGGGCAGCTCGACTCCTTCGCTTGGGAAGACCTTTGATGTTTCTGGCCCAAAATGCCCCGGACAACAAGCTCGTCATCTTTGGGTTGATCGTGATCGTGAGGTCAAATCCAATGCAGTCACGTCGACCAAAAACGATGCATGCCATGACGCGTTTGAAAGCATCAGGATTCTCATGTATATTGATTTCTGGGGTCACAATGCCGCCCGAATGGTCATGTACATGTACACGGAGTTCGTGATAATTATTGCTGAAGGAAAGAGATAGTACGAAACGCCTCCACGGTTGCTCTCTGAAAATGAGCCATGCCTTTGTGTCAAGCGTCTTTCCGGCAGGTATTGAAGGGGTGTACGAGGTTGTGGTGAGCTCAGCGACTACCAGTATAGTGTTCCAACGCAACTCCGTGTGCTCGGATAAGCAGACATCGGGTTTTCAGTTGAACATGCTCGCTTTCAACGGGCACGGTAGAACTCGAACCGTACCATAGTGGAGGAAACGTGCCTAATGAAGGAAATGATCGGAGGAGGGCTTTGGTGAGGTTGTTGAGGAAGAATGGGAATGTCTTCTCGATGGCCTCACCCTTCCTGGGAAGTGCTAAGGGCCATTGTTTCGTGGTAGTGTCGTAGAGCGGCTTGTTGGTTGAATCTACGAGGGTATCTGTTGCGGGCAAGTTCGCGGGGTCGAACAAATTGAAGATCAAAGGTAATAGACATCCCATATCATTAGCATCTCCTTCGCGGCGGGTTTCTTGGGTGATCAGGCGATTGAGCTCACAGGATGTCAGTTTGTCCATGGAGGAGATGTCGGATTGGATGACACCCAGTGGGTGTAACGAAGCGATTTTTAGCCCGAGTTCAGACGAGAGAAAATGTTTTGACATGGCGGTTGCTGAAACGTCGCTGTTCTCAAAGCCGCCTAACAAGGCTACTGCTATCACAGGAAGATAATAGGAAGATAATATTAGCATATCCGAATGCAGCATGTTTGACCCAAACATATATTACTGTTCGGAAGATCACTCGTCTTGCATCCCAGTGTTTGAAATAAGGTAGTAAATGACTATGGAAGTACTGCAAGTACTGCAGGCGCACTAGAGAGTGAAGTAACGCGCAGTCACTGAGAGTACATATGTAATTGTCAATTTGAAAATTTCACACCATGTGACAAGCTTAGCACACATTCACTTGTTGGTCTTTCAATAACATGTGATATACCCATGGGATAATTAGACCAAGACAATTTGAAGCGTGTACTCTAACTAGTTCAGGGCATTGTGATCACAAACATGGTAATGATAAGGGGATTCATCTAAGTTAAGTTACGGGTATAGTGAGAATGAATCAACTTTTCTGTAGATGTCATTGTATTAGTGTCGACTTTTGGAGTAGAATATACTGACCTTGGGAGTATGTTTCTTACTCTTTCCCGTAACCATCCCTGCTTCTTTCTGCCTAGCACGACCTGATGTATATTTCAGGCGCATCATGATCATATCGTTAACCGGCCAGAATTCGCTATAATTTTCTAGGTCGGGGAAAGCATCGACAGCCTAATAAACCATAAACCATGAGGTCATGGATAAATGAAGATTGAGTACTGACTTTGTCGCGGACAGTCTTCAGAAGGATAGGACTTTGGGAGGAGGCACACTTCGTCGTATCGAGGTGCTCTTTGATAAGGTGGTGCATAGAATTCTAGAGGTGTCGATAGATAGAAGGCATACATCAGTGGGAGTGTGTTACTAACCTTAAACTTGGTGTATGCCTTTGGACTCCAATCCAAAGCCTCGCGGAGCGTGTATCCTCCATGCCCAGGACGACCAGGCTCACCAGCAGGCTTTGGAATCTTCGAGTCTTCTGATAAACTTGCAGCCAAAGTTGACGAGTCACTGTCTGATAGCGAATCGAAGGAGCCTGATGAATCCGAGGGAATGGGTGTCCGAGAACGAGAACGAGAACACTCGAGAGAGACTCTCTTCGGGTATGGTGAGGAAGGATGGGTCTTCTTGGATGGGTGTACCGCAAGCTTGAACTCAGGCGCCAGCATGTTCTTGGGCTGCAAATGCTCTCAGTATGAGGAGCAAGACAAAAAAAATGATGCTAACCTTTGGCAGGAGAATCTCATCAGTAATGAGCATAGTCGAATGACGAGGGCTGCCAAAAAGTTCGAGCTGGTCGGTAAGCATAGGCGGGAAGGGGGGTGGAGCACCAGGCTCTGGATCGTGAAAGGGAGAGACAGCTTTCGATGTGTTGCGCATGATCTGTAAGTCAATGTAAGGTGGATCAAGATGGCGATGTGAGCGGGTCAGGCTGGCAATATTAGTGGGTCAAGCTGGCGACGTGAGCGGCTGGATCTAGTAGGTTTTATGAGTTGACACATTAGAGCAACAATATTACGTTAAAACAATAAAGACCGGGATCAACAACACGAAGTTTCGAAGCAAATTACTATGAAAGTCGTAAAGATAAGTGTCGTAATTAGAATAAAAAAAATGCCAAAAGACGAAGAATCAACAAAAAGCAACAAAAAGTGAGGTTGTCTAGGAAAGGCTGACACGTCGCTCATAAAAGACGAATACAAACAGCCAGAAAGCACAAAGTCGCCATGGAATCACAAAAAGCCCCTAGTATAAATATTGTTGAATTGAGCTAGTGAACTTGAGAACCTGACCTGAGCACACACCGATTAAGATCACCCCAGCGATGTTTTTTTATTCCTGGTCTCCATTCAGGCAGTCAACCCAATGCTTCCAGCATCAAGCCCGCCTCACAACAAGTGGGTCTGTCCACGCGCTCGCAGTATCTAATGATGGCCAAGCTCTTGCATGCGGCGGTAAATCACACGCGTTCTAATTATTGGAGTGCTAATAAAATAAACAGGCACCGAGGGCATTAAAGTCTGGGATATCAAATCTCGGAAAGAACTCACATGCTCATCTCATAACTACGAGTCCCGAGGCACAGTCAGCTGCGCTGTCTGGATTACGACAAGACTGGCCATGACAGAAACCCTTTGCTATGGAACAGGGCTTGGTTACATCGTGTTTTTGCGACGTAGCCCAGTAGATGTAAGGATGTCCTGTTCATCATCGAGTTCTCGCCTAATGTCGAACAGATGCTTTTTCAGGAGACTTGCACCAGGAGGCTCAGATCGGGCTTCGAGATTACATGTCTGTCATGGGATATGTCCTCTGAAGGGAGTACTCAGATTGCAGTCGGAACAAGGGACAAGATAGTTCAGGTACTTGTTCTAAACACGAACTCGCAACTGGAGGCCGTTTTCGCGGTGCGACTGGACAACACTGTGCCGAAGTCTGTAGCATTTGCAGACGATAAAGGTGTTTATGTGTTTGGACTATATGACGGCAACTTCAATCGTCGGGCGTCAAGTTGACTGGGTGGACACGCAAGCAGAGCTCGCCCATCCAAACGGCTATGAATCCATCGAAAGAGTAGTGACGTTGGAACGAGTGTATTGAGAGTGAGCTCGATAGTACAAACTATCGAACTCGAAGAGATCTGTGAATGATGATCTCGACGGTACAAAACCATCGAGCTCCAAAAATCAGGGGTAAGATAATACTACCACAACCGTACGAAACAGTTGTAGTAGCAGTAAGGAGTAACTTGGGAACTTTGGCAAAATGTGAGATGGCGAGACAAACAGCTGCAAATAATATTACATCAGCATTCTGATCTGAGATTAAGTCGCCCACCTAAAATGAGGCGGGAGGGGTCGGGGCGCTCAATGTTAGGATGAGCTCGATAGTACAAACTATCGGGCTCGGAGAGATCGGGGGGCGAGGAACTCAATGGTACAAACCACCAAGGTCGGAAACTCAAGGGGACGATACTACCACAACCGTACGAAACAGGTGTAGTAGCAGTCTATAGTAAAGGAGTAACTTGAGACTTTGCCGAAATTTCAGATTGGTGCGACAAATAGTTACAAATACAATTATGTCATCATTGTAATTGGTTTGGTTGTGACAATGATGACATAACTGTATTTGTAACTATTTGTCACACCAATCTGAAATTTCGGCAAAGTCTCAAGTTACTCCTTTACTATAGACTGCTACTACACCTGTTTCGTACGGTTGTGGTAGTATCGTCCCCTTGAGTTTCCGACCTTGGTGGTTTGTACCATTGAGTTCCTCGCCCCCCGATCTCTCCGAGCCCGATAGTTTGTACTATCGAGCTCATCCTAACATTGAGCGCCCCGACCCCTCCCGCCTCATTTTAGGTGGGCGACTTAATCTCAGATCAGAATGCTGATGTAATATTATTTGCAGCTGTTTGTCTCGCCATCTCACATTTTGCCAAAGTTCCCAAGTTACTCCTTACTGCTACTACAACTGTTTCGTACGGTTGTGGTAGTATTATCTTACCCCTGATTTTTGGAGCTCGATGGTTTTGTACCGTCGAGATCATCATTCACAGATCTCTTCGAGTTCGATAGTTTGTACTATCGAGCTCACTCTCAATACACTCGTTCCAACGTCACTACTCTTTCGATGGATTCATAGCCGTTTGGATGGGCGAGCTCTGCTTGCGTGTCCACCCAGTCAACTTGACGCCTGACGATGCGGAGACATGTTCGGATTTGGATAATCCTTAAGAATACCCTCCGCTAGACCATACGTAGGTGCACACGTGAACGACCAATTGGTCACCCACTTAAGGCAAGCCTGGGTAAAGAACGATATGGCCAAGCGATCGATGTACACTTGGCTCTTCGTTTGTACTGTTGAGCTCATGTTCTCTTATACTTTCGTCACTCTGAGCCCGATAGTTTGTACTGTTGAGCTTACCATTCCTCGTCGACATTTGCGAACATGGAATTTTCCCGACGATACGACCGGATTGCGTGACCACTCGGGCACTTGGAATTCCATTGCACTTGTCTTGTCAGATCTATATTACGGTATGTATTGTTCCATCGTCCCTTGTCATGCATCCAAATAGTGTCCATATAGGCAATCACCTTGTACTTCGTCATTGGCATTTGTCTCCAATGCCTTGTTTGTGAGTTGCTCCATTCTTTCCTTGTTTTTTTTTTTTTCATTTAAGTCCCGCTATGCCAGGATCTACTTCCAATCACCCAATTACCAACCTCCCTCAATTCTCCATGCCCGTAGCCCGTGCAACACTCAAACGATGCCTTTGCAAGGAGTGCATTGAGAAAGGCGGATATGACGAGAAAGGCGCACCAACAGGAGTGCTCATGGCCGAACACTTAATCGTGTCTCATATCTTGCGTGTAAAAGTGGAACGCGCCGCAGGTAACAGTGTGATTATTGACGTAGATTTTTCTGCCACTGACCTTGCCGCATGCACCTTCGCAGACAACATGTCATCAGTCGCCGTCATCGCCGATGATCTTCATCGCTTGACCCTTGATACAGATGTACCGGTCAATATTTCTCCGAGCTCGACAGTTTGTACTGTCGAGCTCAAACCTGACACAGTACCTGTCTCGAAAAAGGGATGCAATCGACACACCGAAGGCGTTGGTTGTCCTTGACAACATCAAGTCTCAGATCCAGCAATGCTTTCACTTGTTGCTGCATTCTTGTCGCATTGATCACGTTGGTCGCGAACTACATTTACTTCGTAAAGCCATGCAAAACGTCATTCGGCAGACCGATATCGTGATTGCACGAAAGAAGGCGATCGAATCGCAGATAGACATATTGGCAACCCAGTGCAGCAGTCACGAGCCATCCGATGATACACCCGTCGAGATCAATACCGGTAAGTGAGCGTGCGGATCATCATGACAGTTCTTTGCTTATCGTTCAGTAGATACCCTTCCGCAAGATCCAGTGAACGAGTTAGATGAAATCACTCAAATCATTCTCTTCCTTGGCGTCGCATGCAGAGTTATCATAGGGGTCAGCAGGAGTAGTTGTGATCTAATCATGAAGATCATTTCCGTCATACTATTTCTCGCATTCCGGAGACCAGATAACAGCCTCAACTCCTCCCACACAAATATCCTAAAGCAGATCCCAATGACCTCAGAAAGCGCCAAGGCCAGATTCCATCTCAAGGGAAAGATTGTCCCGTATGCTGTCTGCAGTTGCCATTGCACCTATCCACCAACTTATGCACCAGGCTCGACGACTCCAGTATATCCTGAACGGTGCACTCATCGTCCCATGCTCACGACCGAATGTGGCGAGGCTTTGCTTGTTGGTGCTGATGGAAATTTCCGACCCAGGAGGACCTTCATGTACCACGATTTCAAGGATTATCTGTTCGGTCTTCTCTCTCGTAGAGATATCGAGGCCGTGATGGATCAGGCATGCGACAATCTGATGGACTCCATCGATTCCCCCCATCCGTCCTTCATCATAACCCCCTTTGAAGCTCAATTTCTCTGCCAGTTCGATGGTCCTCAGCCGGGTTCACTTTTTGTTGATAGAGGAGAGGAGGGACGCTATGTCTTCGCTCTCCATGTGGATTTTTTCAATCCGGAAGGTCTGAATATCCGCGGCGCCAGTACATCATGCGGAATCATCTCTATGGCATGCTTAAATTTACCGGTGGATATCAGATACAAGCCGGAGAATATGTATGTTGCGGGTATCATCCCAGGGCCGAAGCAGCCGTCACTGGAGAACCTCAACCACTACATCCGACCCCTCATCAATGATTTGGTAGATGCATGGCAGCGCGGTATCAAGTTCTCCAAAATGGCTTGTTACCCCCATGGCCGGCTTACTCGTAGCGCCGTCGCCCCTGTTGTCTGTGACCTCCCCGCTGCTCGTCATATTGCTTCTATGGCTGGAGTTGGCAGTCACTTCTATTGCAGTGTGTGCAATTGTTATCATAAGTCTACCTGTGGAAGAGTCGACTTCGAGAAGTGGGAACCTCGCAACAAAGTAACATTGCGAGAATATGCTGAGCAGTGGAGAGACGCTGCTACATCCTCTGAACGTGAAAGACTGTTCAAGGCTCATGGCGTGCGCTATTCCGAACTCTGGCGCTTACCATACTGGGACCCCTCCCGGCAACTTGTCATTGATCCGATGCACTGCATATTGGAAGGCTTGGCCCAACACCACACCCGACATCTTCTCAGTTTAACCTCAGAGTCGACCACATCAACATCGCCCTCCCCGGCATTTGCATGTGACTTTGGCGAAATACCTCCCGGGACAATGACAGCCAAAGAGGTAACACAGATATCCACGATTCGCACCCTCCTCGCATCTCACGTAAGTTCTGGCGACGATAATCAACTGGAGGAACGCTTTGACAAGCTAAAAAGCACTCTGTCTCATAAAAATTCCGGACCGTTGAGATTTGCCTGCAATTCTTTACATTGTATGCCCCAGAAAGTTGGCAGAACGCTGAAGATTGACTACGTCAAGGCTCTTGTTGATTGGGTAAGCTCTTCGCTGTGATGTTTCTTGCCGTCAATTTCTCTAACACGCACTTCACAGCGTCACGGACAACCTCTAGCGGCCCCTCGAAAAGTTCGTTCGTTCGAGACAGCAGAAGTACTTGATCGAATCCGTAACGTCATCCGTGATACGACCATCCCCACTTGGCTTGGTTCCGTCCCCAAGAATTTTGGCGAGGCATCTGCTGGGACAATTAAGGCTGATGAGTGGCGATCCCTTATCACAATCTATCTTCCCATCGCCCTCATGAGCTTGTGGGGAGCTGGTACATTGCATTCTTCTGACGAAATTGCTGTTCGCCTCAAAACTATCCTCAATCACACTATGGAATTAGTCGGTGCAGTGTATCTTGCTTGTGCACGAACAATGACACCGAGAAGGGCTCAAGCCTATCGCTCGCATATCGCTGCTTATGTCGGAAAGTTGCAGACAATTCATCCCACCTTCTCAGTGTGACCGAATCACCATGCATCGTTCCATATATATGATTATCTGCTCCTATTCGGGCCTGCTCACTCATGGTGGTCTTTTCCTTTCGAACGTTTAATTGGAATTATACAACACATTCCTATCAATCACAAATTTGGTATGTCCTTTCAAAGCACGAACGAGAAAGTTAGACTTAATCCTGTTAGGGGAGCTTGAAAATACAATGCTTCTTTCCTATATCAAAGCTGCAAGACTTCGCCGTTGGCTCGCCCGACCAGACTGTCCGCCTGCTATTCAAGAGTGTGGGGTCCTGTTTGATCGAGTATTCAATAAGAGCGCTACGAGTTCTATCCATGAGCTTGCCGAAGATCCTATGAATGATGCCATCAAGGTTGCCGACTGTGCAGCAACTAGTGCGGTGCCTGAAGACCTGTATACCCTCATCAGACGACAAACAGCGGTATTACGTGCTACACTCAAGTTCGACGGTGTGATCTACAGTAAGGCGTCTACACACTTGGGCAACAGCCAGATTTTCTTCTATCCTCGCGGAGATCGGTCGTTAACCCCTGTCGCCGCCAGTATCAAATACATTTACAGTACGCTGACAGGAGAGTTATTGTTTGCTGTACAGCGACATATCCTGCTAGATCACCATACCGTCGATCCCTTCTCAATGTACCCTTATTTTCCGGCGAAATTGTACTCGACAGACTTCGAAACCCGCCTTGAAAATGCCAAGGTGTCATGGGTCGTTAGTCACTTTGCGCGATGGAGGGTTTCTGACTGTCACACTGTGATTCTATCCTTATCTCACAACTGAAACTACCTAGCAATATCTATAACTCTCCTGACTCAATTGTTATAGCTTTCAATATGAATATATTTATTTAATCTCTTGCATTTTTACAGGTGTGTGAGCGGGCAATGGGCAGGCAATGGGCGGGCAATGATCGGGCGATATATTTAATCTGAAGACAAAACTTGAAGTTTCGTCATCGCATTTTGTTGCCGCCGTGAGCTTGATATTTTCGGCAGGGTCTAATTGTTTGATACAACTTAACATAGTGACCATGGACCAAACTTCAAGTAATTGTCCCAAGTTGAACGTCATAATAAAACTTTAAATTCAAGCACACGCTCAAAATCTGACAATATTTCTTATTTTCGGTGACGTATGGTCAGTGCCAAAATAGCTGCCAAAGCTTTATATTTTGGATTTTGCACAAAACACTGCCAAAATTTGAAGTTATGTGCCCATATATATGTTAGTTTAAATTTCAAAAATGTTCTTTGCATTCCAGATAACATTAAAACCTATCTTAAATATTGCGGACACCGTAGTGTTAGGCACTGTGGTTTGTGTGGGAGTTTCTATCTGAAATGGGAGGGTACATATGTCCACCCCAAGGGCGAACCTTGGAATTTGACCCGGAGCGGGTTGGAACGCCCGACCTCCTGCAAACCCTAAGCTTTCAGTATATGTAACATGGTCAGACCGCCGCCACGCATAACCATTACACCAAAAGGTGAAATACTGAAAGCTTAGCTTTCAGTATCAGCGACGCTATATGTACTGATTATGAGAACTCAGGTAAGCCAGTGTGCTTACAATATGTTCTTTCTCATTTCATTTTGTACAGTCGCAAACAGCGGTTTCCTGGATGTTCTCCATTGGCCTAACTTGACACTCAACTTCGACGGAATTGACAACATAGCGGAGAATGGGATTATCACAAAAACTGGTATGCGTGGGCCATTAATGACGTCATCACCGTCCTCACATTAGTTCAGGTGAAATGTTGCCATTTGAGGTCATCATATACGCGACCGGGTTCATCAGCGTAAGTGTCATTTACACAGACCTAATAATCTATCAGATACCAACTGCAGAAACAGGATCGCTACCCAATGCATGTCCGAGGCTCGAACGGAGCTACCATCCAAGGGTATTATGATGCTCATGGTGGCCCTACCGCATACCTCGGAACTGCAGTTCCTGACATACCAAACTTCTACTTGCTAGTTGGTGAGTTCACGAGGGATATGTTATCATCAATCTGTTGTCTGACGTATTGATTACAGGACCAAATACTGGAATACCAGCATCAACGTTGTTCATGGAAGAAGTCCAAGTAAATCCAGTGAACTTTTTGTGTGTTTTTACTCAAGTTTGTTACAAGGTTGGATATATCCATCAACTCATAGAGCCGGTCCTCAGCGGTTCACCTGTTCTTGTAATACTCATACATTATATACTGTAGCACAACAAAAAGTCTCATACATGAATCATTGCCATAACAAGGCCCAGTACTTTGGGTCATACATTAAGACCCTTGTCCCCCCAGTACTTCGAGTCATACATTAAGACCCTTGTCCCCCAGTACTTCGAGTCATGCATTAAGTCATACATTAAGGCCCTTGTCCCCCCAGTACTTTGAGTCATGCATTAAGTCATACATTAAGGCCCTTGTCCCCCCAGTACTTCGAGTCATACATTAAGTCATACATTAAGGCCCTTCTTCCCCTAGTACTTCGAGTTTGTCACACAGGGTTCGCATGCTGGCTTCTTCGAAGATGCACATCAGATGTATCGATTGATTGCTCATCAAATAACAAAATGTAATCATACTACTCATCATCACCCTCTAAAGGAGGACCTTCCAATGATGGCATTTGATCGTCGGCCATTTCAGTGTTGATTTCAGGGACCGGGTCAAGCTCGGAGACGACGGCGGAGAGAGCATCCCTCCAAAGTGTCGAGAAACGTATTACCAGACCCTCCCGAACAGATATTTGGCGCTGTGCATAAGCAAAGCTCCCTTCTCGGTCAGCATCCTTAGTAAACGACCTCGCAGTACCTCGTCCGTTCCATTGAGCCATTTCCCAGCGGAAAAATGCCAGTACTCTTTGCATCTCTTCGATCAGCAAAGCAAACTCTTCTGACCATCGGGATGCTCGCGCTCTGGCCTTGCACCATTCGACCCGTAAACCTGACAGTCCCATGATTAGAGACATTCTGATGATAATGCAAGGAGCAACTTACAATCTTGAAGACCCGCGTCATTGTTGTGCAAGACACCAGGTGCCTTCCATATCCACGGGATGTCACGTCTTCCCTCTGATTGCCCTGCAGACCCTGCATCACCCATAGGTCTCATATCCGCTACATTTAATGGCCGAAATGTATCTCTCCAACCTACCATACCTAGCCGGTCTCCAAGGTTATCAAGCGCCACACGAGCAGCCTCATATTTGAGTCGGCTGCCACATTTTTTCGTTTCTGCGAGGTCAAGAGCACTGCGTGCACGGGTACTGGCTCGCTGGCCACGGATGTGTAGAGTCTTGAAGGTATTGAGATGAGCATGCAGGCGGACATTCTGACGAACATCGTTCAGAGCATCATCAGCCTGTGCGTATCGAAGCTGCCACTCGATTTGGCACAGCAAGAGATCGCAGGGAGTTATGGCGTTGAGCTGTGATGGAAGGAAAAGAATAAAGTCCTTGGGCATTTCGTCCTGGGGGATGTCATTGCGCTGGGCGCGGATACAAAGAGAAGCAACTGTGGGCATATACAATATTTGAACTTGAGCCCAGGCATCGAGTTTGCGCTGGAGCGTGTTCGAACACATTTGAAGTTTTGCCTTCTGGTTATCAGTAGGATTTTGACTTAATGTTTTCCTGTCTGCACGTATCTGCCGCCTGCAATAAATCGTTTAGTGACAAAGAAAAACAAGCGAGTTCCAAAGACGTACTGCTGGTCTTCGAGTTCGAGTCCATTTGCTATGAGCATGCTGGGTGAAATCTCAGCATGAAGGGACACGTCAATTCCATCTTGTAAGTCACGTCTTTCACGTTCCGCAAATTCCAAGCGAACCATGGCTTGAGTCATTGCTAGAATCACGACAGACAATTCATCAATATCAAAACACAGAAAACAAGAAACTGACGCACGAACAACTCGACTTTCGAAAGGGTTTGGTTTGGTATTGTCTTCCTCCCATGCCTCTACATCAGCCCGCCACAATGCTAATGTTGATGCATCGATTGCACCTTCAAGTTCTGCAAGTTCTTCACGGTGGGCTCAGGCGGCTGCAGCAGCCTCCTTGAGTTTGCGCAGTAAAGTCCGCCCTATTAAAAACACCTTAATGAAATTCAACGAAAGAGAACAAGTCAACACACCCAACATTGATATTTTTTTCCAGTTCCAATCACCAAAGTGATCGTCGAGCGTGTCACGGCGGTTACCCGGCCCCATCTCCCTTGTACTAGTTGCAACACGATTAATATCTGCCCAACCACGTTCGGGTGCCTCTCCGTCCGTCCGACCCACCCATTTGGAGAAGTTAAATGAGAAAGTTGTTTGGTAAGACTGGATGTGAGCTTTGAGATGGAATTTGGGAACAAAAAAGCGAACAATCTTATTTTCGTAGTCGAACTGCAGTCGCTGGGGCATCGTGCTATTGCGAGACCAGAGTTTCTTATGCCACTGACAGGCGATGTCGTAAGACAAGTTAAATACAGCCAGGCCAAAGCTGACGAGGACCGAAAAGACAAGGTAATCCATGTTTATATATCTGTCCAGTAGTTAGTATAGTATCACGCTGCCTCGAAGAGTATACGATCTCTCACTTTTCTCCCTTCTGCAGGTCACCTACACTATTGGGAAGCCTCATCTCATGACGAGCGCATACAACAGATCCAACTCCCATTGCTGCAAGTCCTCGAGATGCCTTTGTGTCTGCAGTATTCACTGCATTGTGACCCACACAGGTGCTTCTCTGTCCCAAACTTAGATCATGCCACAAATCGGGACGAACCTCTAGGATATGTACCTCTTGCCGTTCTGTACTGTGTTCAGACAGGAACTGTTTGTAAGCACGTTCTTCCACGAAATAAGCCCATCCTGAATTGAGACTCGGGTTGCGATCATCACTAGATATAGCCTTGCGCTTAAGCCGGAAGTTTGCATCGATCGCGAGGAACAACACATAGCGCCACCTGTTTTAAAATTAGTACTATAGTGAGCTCGCACAGGATGCTACTTACCTAATGTCAGGTGGCGAATTCTCCCATCCGTCAGGAATATTGATTCCTGGATGTGGACATGCCGGACATTGTACAACACACCCGCCATCTGGTGTGGCTTCAATACCATTGGGATCATGGCCATGGCCAGCGCGCATAAGTTGCAATAGGTGACGCCATTCTCGCATCATTCACATGAACGCCGAGTAACGATCCTGAAAGGGCGAATCAGTCGGATTTAATGGAGGGAGCTTCACATGTTACTGTACCTTGATTGGTGAGATTCCCGTGTTGTCCGAACGCCTCGCTAAACTGTGATAGAATTCATACGCAGACACTTTCGATTCGAAGGAGAGTAAATGGAATAATTCCAGGACACTGAAGGTCGCCGCTGTTCGAGGGTCAGTTGTGGTAGCTGGAAACCACCGAGCTCGTAGAAGTTGCTTGTAGCGAATCTGTGCGGTCTCGCATCCGCAGAAGTCTACTGCGACATCATGGATGCCGTGTGCATCGATTACTGTAAATTCATCGCAAGAAACTGGCTGAGCATTGTAGCAGCGCTCGCCAGGCGTATGGCCGAGCTGCACGTGGAGTCCAAGGGCCTTTAATGTAATACTCTCAAAGAAGTCGCTGTTCCACATCTGGTGAAATTGCGATAAACAACTAAGGAAAATAACAACGAAGAATACATACATCTATGCGATGAAGTGGATTGCTTAAGTGACGGTGAACAACACATGTCCGGCAGACCATTTCAATCCCAAAACAATCTCTGCAATGGTAAAGATGTATCGCGTCATCTGTTCCACAATGACAATTCAAAAGTGTCCCCTCACTGCCGTGTCCTTCAAGACAGATTAGCTCATCTAAGAAAGCGGAACGTTCGGGCAACCATTGCAATAGGGGATTATCCTTTTAAAAAATCAAGTAAGCACCTGATCATCTTAAGTGTCAAACACATACCGCAGCAGTCCTTTTTTACTTCGGCATGTGTTCTGGTTCCTGTAGCGTGTCAACCTGAGGCTCAGACTCTTGATGTATGGTTTCATTCCAATCATCGACGCTCGGTAAAGTAGGAGATGAGGGGTAATCAATGATTGATACTTCATCAGTGGGTTGGGAAAGCATGTATGTAGTGTCGATGGACGTCTTGCCATTGTGTTGGATGCCATAAGAACGAAAACGCTCGTATGCAGGTGCAGGACCAGCCTCGTTAACATAGCACGAGAACTTGGCTTTCTTGCTTGGTCGGCCCACCATGACAGGCCAGTTGTTGAACAAAGATTGTATAGTCCTAGATTCGTGTTATTCACCCCTCACAACATGCAGAGAACTACATACCGTGTTAATATCGTAGATTCACAAAGTCGTTGATGACCAGGCAAAAGTGCCAGAGTCAGTCCAAAAGTGGGAGGTAAATATTCCTTATTGTAAACGGCGAGTCAGTACTAGTCAGTCTGAAACGGGAAGTCGTGCACGTTACTGGATAAACAATTGTCAAAAGCAGGACGTAAATATTCCTAAGTGTCAAGTCAGTCCAAAATGGGAGGTTGTGCACGTTACTGGATAAACAATCGTCAAAAGCAGGACGTAAATATTCCTAAGCATCGAGTCAGTCCGAAACGGGAGGTCGTGCGAGTTACTGGCTCAACAATCGTCAATAAGGGATTCTCAACACTTTTGAAATAAACAAACATCAATAAGGGATTCTCAACACTTTCGAAATAAACAATCGTCAACAAGGATCCTCAACACTTCGATCGTCAATAAGGATCCTCAACACTTTCGAAATTTGATCCTCCACTGGTCCGTCAATGTGAGCCTGTAGGCAACAAGTATCGAAGTCTGACCTTGACAGGATAAAAGGTGAGTCTTTGTTGACCTGTTCATCTCATACATCACTGATACATCACTTTTCGCATTGATCCACATCACCGTTGCCATCAACAGTCACGATGACCTGCATTATCACTGAAACTAAAGACACTAGTCTTGCATTAGGTGAGTACTATCTACAGTCTTCAAGGTGCGCGACACTTATTCTTTGCTCCCCTCCAGATGCTGTCGTCAAATTGCTGTCCGTACTCAAACTCACTGATAATGATCGCGCAGTTCTAGTTACCGCTCTTCTCTCCGAGATTGCCGGTGAGTTACCTTTGAAACATTTTCCTTATGAAGATGTACAACTAATGTCCATATGTAGAGCCTCATGGAGAGGCTAGGGCTCAAGATGCCGCTGATTCGCAAACCGGTTCTTTGTTTGGCAATGACGATGATGAAGAGCTGGCTGCCACCACGGCAGGTGTTCCCGACACAAGCCTTGCCACCACGGCAGATATTCCTGATGCAAGCTCTGCCACTACAGCAACTGTTCCCGACGTAAGCTCGTCTGCCGCGGCCATTGATTCAACTCCCACTATTGCTACCTCTGTCGTGACTGTCGTGGATGGGGATGTCAGTTCTGCTGAGGTGGAAGATGCGATCACGGAAGGTTGTATCCTCAATGCTTACAAGGGTGTGCACTTCAACATCCCAGTTTCCAGTGATGCCACACCACCTCTGTACTATGTCACCAGGGGCCGCAAGATTGGCGTGTTCTCAGGATGGTACACTTCTTTTCAAGTTGATTTTGATTATGACCTTAGCTTATCTGATCTCCGGCAGGGGCAATGTTGGTCCCAAGGTCTTGGGTGTGAGCCGCGCCATTTTTGCTAAGGCAGAGACCATTGATCAAGGCATTAAGGCTCTCATGGCTGCGATCGACGCTGGCACTGCTGCTCGAGTGTGAATGGGTTGGGCTACCTTGCATTGTATTTGTCATATCATGTATCTAGTGTATCTAGTGTTTGGTTGTGAATTGATCCATTGACGATCATCTTGAATAATGTGTGTCGTGAATCTTGAGGATAACTGAGTTTTGTATTTTGAAAAGTGTTGGGAAAGGGCTTTGAAGTACTTGATAGAATGGTACCAAGTAGCAAATGGTTAGTTGCATGAATTGTGTCTTTCAAGTTTCGCAGCGCTGAGTGTACATGTGTCACTACTGATCTACTAATGATAAAACTCGCATTAATCTAGAGTTTTGTACGCTGGCGGGTGTCATATTCATCGAGCACAAATAACTAAATTTCTGGGATAGGGCTTTGGAAGTACTTGACGGAATGACGCCAAGTAGCAAGTTGTTAGTTGCAGGAATAGTGTCTATTCGTAAGTAAATTGTGCATAAAGCTCGCATTAATTTGCATGCTATGAAGTGTGCATGTGTCACTACCGTGACGTAGTACCAAACTCACTCATTGAACCTACTAGTTCTTCCCAAAATGCAACTTTATTATGGGGCGACCTCGTTTGTATCACAGTCCCGAAGAGAAGGCAAAGGCTGCTCGTATGTACAGACATAATTATTATCAAAGGTACGTGGAATATTTACATCACCCGAGTCATGTTGTTCTTACCGTGTTTCCACTGTTCCAGGAATCGTGAACAGTTCCGCCTGAAAAACAAAGAGCGTTATTGTCGACGTAAATGCAGGTCAGTCGAAGACTCTCAACGATGTTTCAAGTCTAATATCATGCACCAGGCCTGCCGACATGTCTGAGTCCCACCATGACCGAATTCATCAACATTCGACTCCTGAGTCCGAACCTTCTATCAAGAATAATGCAGACATGGGGCTACCAAAAGGCCTCCAAAGGGAACGACAGTAACTTATTCTCTCTTGTTTTCCGCCAACAGCTACTCGAATTTTTAGGTATAGGTATGAATCGCCAACCTCACGTATCAAGAGTCGTCTTATGACTTTTCTCGGTGGTCCAGATGTTGTGATACATGACTACCTTGATATAATCTCCCTCACACTACTGGGGCGCACGGACAATACACTCGATATCGAAGAAATTCGATCTTCAATCAGTAGACTTCAAAGACTGGAGAAAGATGCTCGTGCGGATGAGGCTGGAATTCTGCAGTACTACGGTGTAGGACCAAAGCTGGTGCAATCCCAAGGCATAGGCAAGGAGGTTCACCATCTCCTGAGTGCGTTGGAGGAAGTGTTTATTTACAGTCTCTCCGGTGTTGCTGAATTGGCGGTCATGTATGATCAGGGGGATTTGTTATTCCTCGCGGTATTCGTCACTATCTTGGCCTTAGAGAACAACACGACCTTCATCTATGAGACTATCGGAGTCTTCATTTAAGATCTTTGTTTCTAGGGTGGATATGTTGCAGTACCGTGATTAGCGCCAATATTGTTCTGTGGGTCTTAAATCTTTGTTTCTAGGGCAGATATGCTGCAGTACCATGATTAGTATTGGAATGACGCTTGCTTGCGCCAAGGTTCTGTGGGCCATTCCTTGTCGCCTTGTCACTGACCCTCTGTGCAACTGATTGTTGCGTTGGCACACGTAAGTACACGAGATCGCCGTCTTCTGCCATCTTCATGATTCGCCCATATCGGATGCCATTTCTGTCATGACACCTAAGATTGACCACCTTTTTGCAGTACTTAGCCTTCACGCGCATGGCCATCTATGTGATCTCAGATCTCAGATCTTAGGATTCAATTTAGTGAGATTGATTTTTTTTGTGTGCATATGACCGTCTGCTCACAAGGCTCATATATTGCTAGACACCTCGCCCTTATTTTTGTCCTGCACGAACAGTTCAATAGTTAATAGATAACCAAGGTACGAGATAAATTTGTTGTTTCTATTGTTTTTCAACACAAATACAATTTAGAATGGCTCCTCGCTCCAAGTTCACTGCTGAGCAAGTTGAAATGATGGAGGAGTATCGAGATAAATACCTTGAGTGTCAGGCAGTAGGTGATTACACTCCGTTCTGGGCCCCTTTTTTCGAGGACTATCATGCCAGGTGGCCAGAGAGGGAGCATCTCTTTCCTGATGTCCCCCTTGACACAGATCTCACGCCGGAACAAAAAGTCGTCAATGCAAGTGTTGTGGATGCGCGCAAAAAAGTATGTGTCATAAACATGAGCATTTATTCAAGTACTAATGAGCTTTAGCAATTGGTGCATCGCTTCCATAACACGTACGGCAATTACACTGCAAAGCGCAAGATGAAAGCACAGACAACAAGTTCTGTCGAGAAGATGTTAGCATGTCAATCGAGCCTCAAAGGAACGCGAACATTGCAGCCTGCTGAGGCTTATTCCAAGTTATACTACAAGACGCGTATCAAACCTGTTGTTGACGTGGAAATGAAGGTACTCAAGGTGGGGGCTAGTCTGAATCCGATGACATCAGACGAAGAAGGTGACGCAACTAACAATGTTGGAGGCGATGTGAAGGAGACGTTACCTAAGAAGATCAGGCTATCTCTCATAAAGAAGCACACACGTACTCTATTCGCAAATGAGACACCCGAGATCAAGGCAGAAGTAGCTGATTTTGTCAAGAAATGGAGTGAAGGCCGCAAGAGGAGTTCGAGCGAGGACGAAGACATTTCTTTCACTGAGTAAGACTCATCTATGCATTGTGAGCCGACCAGGAGAACTTACGGTCTTTCAGGAATATTGAAAAGCTACCTAATGTTCTAGCTGATATATTTGCGGGACTGGCCAAACAAACAGGCTGGGCCTTCTCTGTGTTGATGGGCGGGCCTTCTCCAGGAATGGGAGGGAAAATTCAGGCTGAAAGTTTTCATGTGGGGGAAACGGCGATGGGAAATGCATTCAATTTCGCTTACCCTGATTTTAACGAACGCATCATGAAGCCATATGCAGATTTTTTGAAGCAGGCCTTTCGTGAGTACTTAACGAGTTCACAACTTTTAATACATGATAGTTGATCATTCGATGCAGCTGATGCAGCGGGGAAGGGAACGGCAGGTTCATCAAGTCCAAGTCCCTCGCGGTCTAACCCCACTCAACTTTTCGAAGATGCCGCGGGATCCGCAACCACTACCTTGTCTCCGATGCCGATTAACTCCAGCAATATTCATACATTACTCCTTCCACTGATGAGTCAGATGACAACGTTCGATGACCAGCAGTGCCATCTCTTCTCTGGTCTCGACATCTCTGGACCGGTCTCATTGTTTGAGAATGACGGACCCACTCTTCCAAACAGACATACTCCTTCCACACCAAAGTCCTTGTTCAGCTTAGAGTTGTATGACTCTGCCACTTTGGATCGCATGTCTATGACAGACTTATTGAATGCACCATTGGGTCCAAATTGATCAGATCTACCTTCTTCCGTGGCAGCAGTACCCTCCACTTTCATGGCGCCAGCAGTTCATCCTGCATCTAGGCAGCCTGCGCTTCCTGACGTTGACCCGCTTCCACCTCTCACACAGTCTAAGGGTGAGCAGCCTCCACCTCTCACGCAGTCTAAGGGCGAGCAGCCTCCACCTCTCACCCAGCCTAACGTGGGCGAGCAGCCTCCACCTCTCACGCAGTCTAAGGGCGAGCAGCCTCCACCTCTCACCCAGCCTAACGTGGGCGAGCAGCCTCCACCTCTCACCCAGCCTAACGTGGGCGAGCAGCCTCCACCTCTCACCCAGCCTAACGTGGGTGAGCAGCTTCCACTTCTCACCCAGCCTAACGTGGGCGAGCAGCCTCCACTTCTCACCCAGTCTAAGGGCGAGCAGCCTCCACCTCTCACCCAGCCTAACGGCACACCGGCTAACGTTGTCGAGCAGCCTCCACCTCTCACACAACCTAATGGCACGCAGCCTAACGTGGTTGAGCAGCCTCCACCTCTCACACAACCTAATGGCATGCAGCCTAACGTTGTCGAGCAGCCTTCACCTCTCACTCAGCCTAACATCGACCCCCATCGACCTCTCACGCAACCTAACATCGAGCCACCTCTCACTCTCATGCAGCCTGTACTTCCTATTGTCAAGGCCTCTCCTGTAGAACATTCGGTAGAACCTACTCGTTCAAAGGCAGTTGTGGAGGGCCTGTAGGTACAGGCTCAACAACAGTCCCTTGTCCTTGGACGATCGAAGCGAGAGCACAAGGAGTCGACCCGCAATGAGGTTGCCAATTCTATCGGCAGTGAGAACATCAGGAAAGAGAATTCAACATCAAAGAGGCCACCGAAGTCTCTTACTCGTGGGGCACCCGCAAAGTGAGTGATATATCAGTACCAGTGTGCTCGATAATGACCATTACTAATTAGAAAGCAAGGTATTTGACTTCTCCTTGCTACTTTCCAAGTCTGTCTGGTGATATGACATGTGTCCTCTTGACTGTTTCTTCACCTATGTTTTATATCCTACTTGTTTTGTTAGTTTGCGTTCTTGATGTCATACACTAGTGTCCATGACACTCCTGCCATTAAACATGTCTCTAATTGTAATAATATGATGATGTTACATAAAATGTCTTGTTAATGTAATCACGCAGTGTTCTGATAGACTTTACATGCGGTGGGCAGCTCATGGGGACGTTCTGTATGTCACGTGATGTTCAAACCTTGCTGAAAGACAACTGCGGCAGGACTTCGTGAAAATTCATTGAGCATGGTGATTTGTAATCTTAAGCCTGTCTGAAATATCTCTTGTTAATCGTAGTATAGTGATGGACTTTATGGCTTTACAGACGGTGAGCATTTCTTGTGCGTCACGTGATGTTTGGGACTTTACTTGCAGCAGGACTTGGTGAAAATTCATCGATGATTGACTTATATTTAGCTCAAGCATGATAGCCGCCAATCTGCTTCTTCAAAAGGACGTAATAGAAGGTATAGTAAGGCACCGAAGGTACAGGAAGGACAGGGAGGCGCAAAGAAGCAGAGGAAAGGTACAAAGACCTATGTGACAGGTACAAAAGGGTACCAAATGTATGCAAGGTACAATTTCGGGGGTAACAGAGTGATACATCAGTGATATATCACTAGCTAGTTACCTGTTTTGGGGTAAAACAAGAGTGATATATCACCAGCTAGTAATTTAGGTAGGGATCCCAAAGTGATCCTCCATGTCATACATGACTTGTTTGTGATCAGTGATATATCACCAGCTGGTCATCTGTTTTTTGGGTGAACAAGAGTGATACATCAGTGATATATCACCAGCTAGTAATTTAGGTAGGGATCCCAAAGTGATCCTCCATCTCATACATGACTTGCTTGTAAGTGGTAACAACAATGAATCATGTATGACAATTAACTGATCATTACAGTCTATTTAATGTATGATTATGACAGTATAGACTCAGCGGTTCTGCTTCATCTTTCACCGTCAAAGCTTCACACGCAGATGAATATAATGCTAAGGTTCAAGAACGTATATCCCGCTCTGTGTCCATGCAGTGCCATTCCTGGGCGCGCATGAACGGCACAGGAAAGGTATTTAATCCATTCCCTTGGGCTATGACGCGTTGGTGGTGGTTGCTTCGCAAACCAAATTGGGATCATTATGTGGCAGTCGGCGCCGAGAAATGGGTATGGGCAAGGCGAAGAAAGTTTGTCAAGAATAGTCTAAAATGCCCCGCAATCTTGACGTTATTGTGCTCATATATCGGCAGCTCTGTTCAGACGACACGGTGGTGAGTCTATTTTTCTTGATGCCTATCATTCGAACAACTGATATCTTCAGGCAGTGACTATCTGTGGCTTGCGACTACTTGAGCAATTTTAGCCTGCGTCTTTAAGCGTCATGCATGTATGTACAAGACGGATCATAATTATACAAAGTAGCAACTAGACAGCTTGCATAATTTTCCCTCATGAGCAAGATTAATGACAATCGGAAATGATGCGACGACAACCTGTCAGACCTTTTTTTCAGTATGTTCGTCGACCATCATGAGGATGGTCCATTGTTCGATAGCTACAACCTTAGTGGATCTGCAGTAGTCGTCTTCATTATTTCAAAGCAAGGAACAAGAGCAGCATATTCCTCTCGCTGTTGATCTGTCAAGGACACTCCGCGAAATGCAAGGCGCTCCAGGGAACATTTCAACCTCGTCAAAAACGCTTGAAACTCTTCTTGTGGCCACCTCCCCATATGGGCGGCTTGGAGCACACAAAGGTTCGGGAGCATGAGGACCTTGAATAGGCCAGGTTTTCTGTCCAAGTTCGGATACAAGTTCGCACACATGTATAAGCATCGGAGGTTGGTGTGCATGACTGGTTCTTGATTCTTGATCGGGTGAAATATGCTGAGGATTGTCACAGAAGAGAGGTTGGGACACAGACGGAGTATGCGAGGGAATGCATCTAGTCCGTTCACTCTGACCTCGAGATGGGTGAGATGGGCCCACCTGGAATTAGCGACGAAGTCTAATTGGTTGCAGCTGACCCACAGATCCAATAGGTCCATCTTGCGAAGGTTGCACGGCAATTTCGAGATAGAGCACTCGATAGCTCGCTTTGAATCGTGACCGTGAGTGCGTACGATGAGCTCCTTGAGTCCATGGAAGTCTTCCATCATGACGGGGCCTCTGCAAATCCAAAAATTAAGCTCCAGAGACGAGATTTACTGGATGTATGGCTGGAGCAGGCTTCGTGCCTCGCTAAAGTCAGTATAACATTCGAGTTTCAACAAGAGAGGACATCCTCTCGATCGCTTGAGCCAGAGGTCATAGGCGAGAACTCTCTCCCGCAAGTCGTCGTCCGCGATCAACTGTAGCTGGGTCCATAACCATGGCAAGCCAAGAGCAACCTCCCTCCATTGTCGACATATTCTTGTGAATATCAGGGGAGCTCACCTTTGTGTGGGGGAAAAGGGCAAGTCATCGGACAGAGAGTGGAGAAAAATTTCCGAGAGAATTTCTGCTGGCAGACGCGGGATACGTAATGAAGATCCCCCGAACGAAGTGTCGGACTGGATGAGATTTCATCATTATATCAAGATGCAAATACCTCCAGGACCAAGCACTTACAGGTTGCTGCAGCTCCCCAATGCTAGCTGAGATCGGTGGTGAATCGATGTTTGAATTAGATGTCTGCATGTTAATGCGAAGGAGGTTGAGATATTGGAGATGGAGATCTGAAGGAGGAAATAAGTCTACCGTTCCGCCAACAGTCGTGTCCCTATTTAAATCTAACACTGGGAAAACCACAAGTCCACAAACCACACGCCTTCCTATTGTCGTCCCAAATAGCCTTAGGTAAACAACCGTCCTCCACAACTAGAGACCTTGCATTGTATGTCTTCTTATTTCCATGGCCACTAAGGTCCAGACCTGTCGGCTGAGCTGTGACCTTTATTTTTCCCTATATTGGTCTTGCATTGTCGGTTTTATATTTGATAGGCGTGGACATGAATGTACTTCAAAGAGAAGTCAGGTTTCAAATCTCCTTGACACCTCTCCACCGTGACAGGAGTCCCTGCATCAGGGAAAACCTCCCGTGCTAACTTAGATCTAATTAGACATAATTGACATAATTAGCGATAATTATGTAGTTTAGCAGATTATGAGAACTCTTTGGGGGACGCTCTAACGTCTTTAGAGAAAGGAAACACTTAAGTGTATTGGGTATGTAGTTACGATACACTTGGAGAGGTACTAGGGCACTAAGATAATGGGCGATAGCGCACAGCGCTAACCGGCCCCAATTGAAGACCTGCCGGGGTGATGTGAGCTGGGATCCCCTAATGGTAGGAGTCCACGACAACGCAACGCAGCGACGCCGAAGACCCCTTAATGGTAGGAGCACACCTTTCAGTCATATGACACTGTAAAACCCTGTCATAGGACGTGTACATTGCCCTGCAAAACCTGGACTACCGGACACCGGCCGGTTGTTGTATACCCAGGATCGGCCGACTATCTGCAATACCTGGACAGGCCGGTGACTCTAGTATAAATGATATATCTGCAGGACCTGGACAAGCCGGTGACTCTAGTATAAATGATGAATCTGCAGGACCTGGACAGGCCGGTGACTCTAGTATAAATGATGAATCTGCAGGACCTGGACAGGCCAGTGACTCTAGTATAAATGATGAATCTGCAGGACCTGGACAGGCCAGTGACTCTAGTATAAATTATGAATCTGTAGGACCTGAACAGACCGGTGACTCTAGTATAAATGATGAATCTGCAGGACCTGGACAGGCCAGTGACTCTAGTATAAATGATATATCTGCAGGACCTGGACAGGCCAGTGACTCTAGTATAAATGATATATCTGCAGGACCTGGACAGGCCAGTGACTCTAGTATAAATGATATATCTGCAGGACCTGGACAGGCCAGTGACTCTAGTATAAATTATGAATCTGCAGGACCTGGACAGGCCGGTGACTCTATATATCTATAGTACCTAGACAGGCAGGTAACTAGTCATATCTGCAGTATCTGGACAGGCCGGTGACTCTAGTATAAATGACAGATAGGCCAGTATGCAGGGGTAGATGTGCTTAATTATACATATAAGCTTATTTGTAGTCATACAGCAAGACCTGCAAGGCCCAGTGCTATAATATTAATATAGGCCTATCTATAGCTGACACTACAGTGATGCAAATACTGTAGGGACTAATGGTAGCTCTTGGATCAGTCTGGTTTTGAAGGGGCTTGAAGCCCTCAATCCTCCAGTACATAATAATGGCAATGTTGAAAATACAGTGTGGTGTAAACAATTTTGGACCAGTATGGTTTTGAAGGCCCTTGAAGACCTTGATCTGATTGCACACTAAACTAGCCAAACATCATTATTCAAGTTGGATCAAAGGATTGGGATGAGGTTATTACCTTTGATCCAACTTGAATACTGATGATAAATGTTCACAGAAAAAATAATATAAAACCTACAAAATCTGTGCAATACACTAGTAGTATAATTGTGATCCACAAAACTGTAACATGGTGAATCCATCAATCTTGGGCTATTCAAAATTCACTGTACACTATGAAGACCAGCTCATGCATATTCTATATCTGGTCAATATAGGCCAGCCTGGTGTTGCAGTCTGTGCAAATGGGCTGGCCACATGGGTTATGACCTATACTCTTGTCAGCCAGCCTGCTTTCACAATATATAAAGTAGTCTGGCCAGAACCATAGTAGCCTATACCAGTGAAGGCCGGCCTGGTGTTGTAGTCGGTGCAATTGGGCCAGCCGCATGGGTTATGACCTATACTCTTGTCGGCCAGCCTGCTTTCACAATATATAAAGTGGGCTGGCTGGAACCATAGTGACCTATACCAGTGCAGGTTGGCCTGGTGTTGTAGTCTGTGCAATTGGGCTGGTTGCATGGGTTATGACTATACTTCTGTCAGCGAGCCTGCTTCCACAATGTATAAAGTACTTCTTGGCAGTGTTCTTTGTGCAAGTCATAGTTGGTTGAGAGCAATTGAAGGGTCAGTATACCAGACTTATACATGCCACACAAAAACAAAAAAGATGCATGAACAAAAGAGTTGGCTAAAAGCTGAAATTGGAGTTAGTATACCAGAATTATACACCACACAAACATAAAGCAAACAAACTCACATGATGAAAGAGACGTGTTAACAAAAAGTCACATCCACAAAAAGACTTCTTTCTCACAAAAAGACATGTCAATGAAAGAGCAAGCAGAAAAGCTGAAATTATAGTCAGTAGACTTACACATGCCACCCAAAAATAAAGAAAACAAACTTACCCAATCCAAGAGATACATTAGCAAAAGAGGCATGTTGACAAGTCTGATAGAGCCCTATAAAGCTCTCTAAAGCTGCTAAAGTTAGGTAAAATATACCAAAACTATTATAACTCTTGGTAGCTTTGCCATTATAGCTCAAAGTTCAAAAAATGCGAAAATTATATTTCAAGGAACTGCTATAACACATAAACTACTAAGTATGAAAATAATAACTAAAAAAGAGGCAAAAATATGAAGCTAGAAGGAGTGGCTCAGAGAGGGAAGGGAAAAAAGGGGAAAAGACTTACTAGATACTCAAAAATGCGAAAATAATTAAGGAGGAGCTAGCAGGAGTGTCAGAGAGGAAAGAAGAAGAGAAAGAAAAAAAGAAAGACTTACAAAATAGTCAAAAATGCAAAAATGATTGAGTGGAAAGAGGAAACAGAAAGGAAGAAGAAGAGAGATAGAAAGACTTACTACCAAATAGTCAAAAATGCGGAGCTAGAAGGAGAGGATCAGAGAGAGAAGCAAAAGAAGAGAGTTACCAGATAGTCAGAAGTGCAAAAATTATTGAGTAGAAGGAGAATGAGAAGGAGGGAAGGAAGAGACACTGAGAGAAAGAAAGGAAAAGATAGAAATAGACTTGTGGACTGCACTTTTGCTTATATAAGCTGTGTCAAGCCACATCACAAGACTTGGTGAATTTTCGCATTTTTGCTTACTTGACCGTGGGAACTTTTTTCGATAAAAATCAAAGTTATAGCCCTTATCAAAAGGAGTCTATCCATAGTCTTATGACATCAATAGGTTAGGATCCTAGTAAGTTATAAGCAAAACACTCAAAAGTGGATGGTTCAAGAAAGCACCTTGACTGTGGGAATTTTTCCGATGAAAATCAAAGTTGTAGCCCTTATCAAAAGGAGTCTATCCATAGTCTTATGACATCAATAGGTCAAGATCCTAGTAAGTTATAAGCAAAATACTCGAAAGTGGATGGTTCAAGAAAGCACCTTAACCATGGGAACTTTTCCGATAAAACCCAAAGTTTATTGACAAATACACTGATTGTGGGAATGCCTGGTGCAAACATCAACAAATAAACAAACATACTTCAACTGTTTATATTTCTCCCATGGTTCATCTTTCTGAACTTCGACCATGTTCACACCTCTCCTCACCTTTCCTCTCATTGCACTACTAACCTCAACTCATTCTTTGTGCCTGTCCTTTGGCCACTTGCAGACTGCAGCTGCAAGTGGTCAAAGGCAGTGCTACAGTGATTTTCAATCTCACAAAGTAAGTTTTTTCTATATGTTCTTCACAGCACTAACTTGCTGTTTATTATTCACAGCTATGCTTGATAGTTGGACCTTAAGGTCAGTCTCTTTTGACTCCCTGCAGCATTTGACTTTGTATAGTTTTTTAGATTGACTTTTTGGCTATCTATGTCCCCAGGGACTGGTACCTTCAACTTTGGGCTCTGGGGGGTTATTTTTTGGTCATCCATGTCTCCAGGGACTGGCACCTTCACCTTTGGCCATCCATGTCCCTAGGGACTGGCGCCTCCAACTTGGGCTCTGGGGGTTATTTTTTGGTCATCTATGTTCCCAGGGACTGGCATCTTCATTTTTGGCCATCCATGTCCCCAGGGACTGGCGCCTTTAACTTGAGCTCTGGGGGTTATTTTTTGGTCATCCATGTTCCCAGGGACTGGCACCTTTAACTTGAGCTCTGGGGGTTATTTTTTGGTCATCCATGTCCCCAGGGACTGGCACCTTTACCTTTGGGCTCTGGGGGTTGGTTTTTGGTCATCCATGTTCCCAGGGACTGGCGCCTTTACCTTTGGAATCTGGGGGTTGGTTTGTGGTCATCCATGTCTCCAGGGACTGACACCTTTACCTTTAGGCTCTGGGGGTTGGTTTTTGGTCATCTATGTCTCTAGGGACTGGTGCCTTTACCTTTGGGATCTGAGGGTTTGGTTTGTGGCCATCCATGTCTCTAGGGACTGGCGCCTTTAATTTTTAAATATAGTTTGTATTTCACCGGTTTTTCTTTATCTTGTCAAGTGTCCTGATGTACTGACAGTGTTTACTTTTTCTAGCTTTCTATAACATTTTCTGCTTGACTGTGGCTACCTAGTTTGTTCAGGTGGGCCTATATTCAATGTTTGATATCATACTGACTGATGACTTAATTTTCCTTTGACTTGCAGCTTAGTTTTGATTTCCTTTTGACAAGTTTAACTTGGTAAGCGTCCATTGAAGATTTAGTATAATACTTACTATGTACTGCCCTGAGCTTAGAGGGTTGTGGAAGGAATGTGGTGTATATCTCAGTTGACCCAGTATTTAAGTCCTACTACTGCTCAACTGACCATTTTCGATGTTTTGGGTCTTTGAATTTTTCCACGCTCAATTTCTTATCTATTTCACTTCCTCAGCACTTATTTCTTGTTAGATTGTTTTATAAATTTAGATATAGGATAGTGAATGTATTTTAAATCTACTCCAGGTGTCTGATTATTAAATTTCGATGTTTTGAAAGTATGGGCTCCTTATCAGTAAAAATAGCAAGTATCTACACCAGCTCAAAACTCTGGCCTATTTTAAGCTGATCCTTGTCATACAAAGCAAGTATACATGCTATGATAATGATATATAAATAGGCTGGATCATTTATGCAACATTAAGATACTGGAAAACATACAAAATGTCAAAAGAGGGATTTTCTATATTTTTGTTCTTAGAGCAGGTTCCTATGTGTGTTCTGGGCCAGCTATATGACAGATCTACTCCAAATATACATAGAGATAGACCCCTCACCTCAATCAAGGTCCAGTCTTACAGCAAAAAATTTTACAGTGAGTGAACCACCAGAAGAGGAGGGACACATCATGCAATAGGGGATTATTCTATCCTGCTGGGTTCCTGATACATTGTTTCTATTGTTGAATAGATGCTGGGAATTATTTTTCCAAGTCTGTCCACCTAGAAATAACTAGATAGAAACATATTCTGTGTTTTTTTTGCAAATGTGCTATATCTATTGATATAGGGCACTTCAGGGGGTCAAATAAAGATGGGAATCTATTCATATACACTCATAAACATGTTCCAAATATAATAGAACACTTCCCCACCAAAGGTGCAAATGTGCGACAGTATTCTTTACCCTACCATATGTTAAATGGCCCTTGGAGAAGAAGCAGGCACACAGATAGACAAAAAAAGTGGTGTATTATATTATATTATACACACATATATACTAAACTACTACTTATATAAGAACAGGGGCCCATTGTGGTGTAGTGGTGAAGCTAGAGAGACATATCTACAAAGACAATTGTTGACAAAAGATTGATAAAAGAAACACAAAAACTAACTACAAATGTGCATGTGACATGTTCTAGCAAACAAGAACAAATCAACAAACGGTACATCAACCATTTACATTTCTCCCACAGTTTGTTTGTTTCAACTTCAACCATATATACCATCGCCACCCATCTTACTTTACTTTACCACACCTTCTGTGCATCTGACCTTTGGCTACTTGCAGACTGCAGCTGCAAGTAGTCAAAGGCAGCGCTGCAGTTATATCAAGGCCACTATATCAAGTAAGTTCTTTTTACAACCGCTTCATAATACTAATTCTTTGTATATTTATTTCCAGTTGTGGTTAATAACTGGCACGCTATCAAACTTTTTTGATAGTGCACCTGAGGTCAGTCTTTTTACAGTACTTCACATTACTAATTTTTTGTATGTTTATTCAGTTGTTGATAGCTGGCACACCTTAAAGGTCAGTCTTTCCATTCCGCCAAGCGGCTGACTTTTCTTTAGTTGTTTAGATATATTCTTGGCTGTCCATGTCCCTAGGGACTGGCACCTGTAATGTTGGGCCCTGGGGGTTAGTTTTTGGCTATCAATGTCCCCAGGGACTGGTGCCTTCAACTTTGTGTTCTGGAGGTAACTTTTTGGCTATCCATGTCCCCAAGGACTGGTGCCTTCATATGTCTGTCTCTCCTGTCAAGTCTAATCTACTAACTTGCTCTCTAGCTTTATAAAATGCATTGACTGTTCTGGCTTGTTTTTGTTTTGTTTTCAAGTCTGCTCTGTACTAACAGTGTTTTTTCTAGCTTTCTCTCATACATTGTCTGGTAGCGGTTTTGTTTAGATAGGTGTTATTTCAATATTCAAGATGATACTAACTTTCGCCATAGTTTTGGTGGTCTGCACTTGATGTGCCTGCCATCTTTTTTTTTACATGTTTAATACAGTAAACATCACTTTAATATTTAATATCATACTAACTATCACTACAGTTGGCTCATTGTTAGTTTTCATTTTTACATTTCATCATTTACTATAGGTGCAAGGCTAGGATGGAAAGGGCCCCTCCATCCCTGCCTTGTATCATTTACCTTAGTTTTTTCTATCTTAGTTTTTTTGACTTGGACTATATACTTTGCTTGCTGTAGGACATAGCCTAAATGTATTACTCTTGTATGGGCATAATTTCGACATGTGACTCTCAAATTTTTGCCCAAAAATTAAGTCACATGATCATGAGAGTGATGCAAGATGACATGCACCTGCCATGATATGCAGCTTCCCCAGTGTTAAAAATTTAGCCTCACTGACCACACCTCAATTAAAGTAAGTTTGATTGTCTACCTTTTGAGCCTCACTTATTTCAGATGCCCACTTTCTATGTCCATGAATGAAAGAAAATAAATCATTTTGTACAGTTAGGGTTAGTTGATTGTTTTCTATCTCTATAAGCGAGAGAAATTGAATCATTTCTGTTGCGCAACAGAAACAATTCACTTTCTTTCACTTATATATATAGAAGGTGAGCATCTGAAATGAGTGAGGCTTAAACAGTAGATAATCAGACTTACTCTACTAAAGGAGACTGGTTGTGAGATTCCTGCATGGGCCAGCCTGTTGTTGCATCCTGTAATACTGGGCTGGCCGGCCTGGTTGTGTCCTATACCCCAGCAGGCCGGACGAGCTGTGCGGTGTGTAATACTGGGCCGACCCACCTGGCTTTCACCAATACCCTAGCCAAGTCTGATAAGATTAGCAAAGTCTGGCTGGGCCAGCCTGTTGTTGCACCCTGTAATACTGGGTCAGCCAGCTTGGCTGTTTTCTATACCCAAGCTGGCCAGACGAGCTGTGCAGTATGTAATACTGGGCTGGCCGACCTTACTTTCACCTATACTCCAGCTTGCTGGATAGTAACATGCACCAAACTTGTTTTGTGCATGATTGTGGCTACTTTTAAGCCTTAATGTTCCTCACTTTGGTCACATGGTGCCACATTTCACATGGGCCAGCCTGCTGTTGCAGACTGTAGTGCAGTCTATATAAAGTGGCCAGCCACAAACTCAGATAAACCAAAATGGCACCAGAAAGCTGCAATTTTTTTTGGACAGCTTACTCAAATGCTACATCAACTGCAGCTTTGAAGTGAGGTTGAGTACACTTTCTACATACCTCAGAGGCAGGCAGGCCATCATGGTCACAGTATACTAGCTAGCCCCCTTCTTCATACTGCATATACAGGTTGGCCCATGTGGCTCACAAAGGTGAAATTCAATCTGCAGCTGGCCTGCCCCCTTCCATATAACACAGAGGTAGGCAGGCCTAATGCGCCATTTGGCACAAGTATGTTGGCCGGCCCCCTCTTACACATTGCATATCAGGGCTGGCCCATTCAGCTGAAATTCAACATATAGCCAGCTGGCCCCCTTTCACATAATGCAGAGGCAGGCAGGCCTAATGCACCATTTGGCAGACATATGTCGGCCGGCCCCCTCCTACACACTGCACATCAGAGCCGGCCCATTCTGCTAAAATTCAACCTGGCCGGCCAGCCCCCTTTCACATATTGCAGAGGCAGGTAGGCTGAATGTACCATTTGGAAGAGGTATGTCGGCCGGCCCCCTCTTACACACTGCACATCAGGGCTGGCCCATTCAGCTGAAATTCAATTTGTAGCTGGCCGGCCCCCTTTCACATATTGCAGAGGTAGGTAGGCCTAATGCACCATTTGACAGACATATGTTGGCCGGCCCCCTCCTACACACTGCACATCAGGGCTGGCCCATTCTGCTAAAATTCAATCTGGCTGGCCGGCCCCCTTTCACATATTGCAGAGGCAGGTAGGCTGAATGCACAATTTGGGAGAGGTATGTCGGCCGGCCCCCTCCTACACACTGCACATCAGGGCTGGCCCATTCTGCTAAAATTCAACCTGGCCGGCCGGCCCCCTTTCACATACTGCAGAGGCAGGCAGGTCAAATGAATCATAAGGCAGGAGCATGCAGGCCGGCCCCTTTCTACACCTCTGATATTTTTTCATGTGAGGCATCGGCCTGCTAGGGTCCTACAGCATCGGCCGAGCCTGGTTTTACATGGACCGGCTGGCGTCCGGTAGTCCTGGTTTTGCAGGCAAATGTACACGTCCTATGACAGGGTTCTATGGTAGAAGTGACTGAAGGGTCTGGAAGGAGGAGGGGACATAACTCACGGGAGAGAGGATGGTTGAATGGTTCTTGGCAGGACGAATCTAACGAAGTTTTCATGAAATGCAGGAACAGCTTGCATGTATGGCGCCATAATTTGCGCATGTTTTCGTAAGTAGAGCAAAAACGCGTCACTACTCCATCGACCTTTGGCTTTGACCACTTCAAAGGGAACATTGCACAGTAAATATTCAAGGGTGGACCCTATGCAGATGCCGTGTCCTTGCAAGGGGTCCATTCCTGCTGCTCGAGCTGCTTGGGCGAGACGTGTTATGAACTTCTGCTTCATGAGTGGCCGATGACCGTTTTTGAACCGGTAAGCAAAGAGAGCGCCTCCTGGCGGTGGCTCATTGACTCTGAGATGATTCAGGAGGGCATCTTCAGGATCCGAAGGGCCGTTCTGTTGTGCAAACGAGACATCTTGTCCTTCTGCCATTGTCTTCACCTGTACCTGTAGTATTCAAGCTTAAATATATCAGATTAGACACCAACCTTGATGCAAAAATGACTCTAAACCTTCGAGCATGAAGCATCAAGTTAGAGACACTGCCCACCCTACTAATCCCTCCTACCTTGAAGCATCAACCTAGAGACAAGGTTCCTGCACCTCGTCGATGAAGCATAAACCTAGAGACAAAGCTCCCTCCCCTCGTTGATGCTTCTCCCTTGCTGTAGAGACATCTGATGGTCCCTTGTTGACGGTCCCTTGTTGATGGTTCCTCGTTGATGGTCCCTCGTTGATGAAGCATCAAGTCCCGTCCATCGTTGATGCTTCTCCCTCAGGAAGGCGCTACCCCGATCAATAGGAACAAAGGTTTATTTCTGTATTCAGTCAACATGCGCTATGAACAGAAAAACAAAAGCTGCACTATGACACCGGCAGAGATATTGCAGGCAACATGGGCTGGAGAAGAGCCGGAACAACACTCCACATCTTCTCGAATCGGTCCCGCATAGCTCTTCGAAGAGCGGCCTGGCATTTCGCATATCCCTGGATCCCTTCCTGTTCAGGTGCAGGTAGGACAGTCCTGCGATTTGCTTGCTCCTCCCACCATCCTGTGTGCCACGAAAGAAAGCTGGCTACACGCCGCATCTCCTCTTGCAGCAACTCGACTTCTTCAGCCCAATGATCGGCGCGCGCTCTCGATTTGCACCATTCAATATGCAATGCTGCCTGGTGCGTCAGGACAGCTCCTCCGTACAATCAATAATGCCAATGCGTACCTTCTGATAAAACAGCCTCACCATCTTCTCCCATTGCAGCCACCCCATGAGCCTTCCAGATCCACGAAAGTGTGCGGTTACCTTCGGACTGGCCAATATCTCCCTCTGACATCCCGCGAACATCAGCCGCCAGCAACTCAGACAATTCTACCTCCCAATTAGGTTTGTCCAGGACTCCTGACAGTGTCTTGACTGCCGCCCAAGCCCTGCGATACCGAGCAGCAGCTGTCCTAATGGTCTGCTCCACTTTTCTGAGCACAGCGGATGCTCTGGTATTGGCCTGTTGCCCGCGTATGTAGGCGTCTTTGAATTTGTAGAGGTGTGCGCGAAGACGAAGTTGCCAGCGAACATCATCGAGAGCCTCATGTGCCTGTGCACACCGCAGCTCCCATTCAAATTCACAAAGCTGCTCGTCACACGACATCTCAGCTGCCTCCTTCAGCTTCGATGGTAGCCAAAGTTTGACATCGTAGGCCTTCTCATCGCGAGTTGATTGTGCATCTGCCAATGCACGCAGTCGGCCGACAGCAGGCATGTAGAGCAGTTGGACCTTGCACCACTGCTCGATCTTGCGCAGCAGTGCATTCGAATGCTCTTGCAGCTTCGTCAGCTGCAAGTCTGTTGGATGGCCACTCAGAGCGTTGTAATCTTGCTGCAGGCGAAATCTGTAGATCATCTTATTAGAAACTACTAATTAAAATACTTTGAAAACCTTACTGTTGTTCCTCGAGCTCGATTCCCGATGAAACGAGTACGCTAGGTGATATCTCGGTGTGCAATGAATTGTTGAAACCTCTTTCGAGGTCTTCGGCTTCCTTTTGAGAGAGTCTAAGGCGCACGGCAGCCTGCGTCAAGGCTATATACAATCAGTGCATGTAATAGCCTAGCGTGCATGATACTTACTGATGGTCGTTGTCTCGAAGGGGTTTTTGTTGGAAGTGTCGGCCTCCCATTTTTCGATAGCTTCATTTCACTGTGTTACCTCGCCCGGTCGTTCCCCTATGATCGTAAGGTGAAAGTTGTCAAAATCTTGTTGGTGTCGGTCTCGTTCAGGGATCGCAGTCTTCATTTTGCTCAGTAAACTGACACCTAAGGATTTTCTTGGTTAATTACATTGGGTGTGCTGAAGCAAACAACACGTACCGAAGTTCGTAACTTTCTTCCAATTGAAGTCGCCGAAGTGATCGTCCAGTGTATCTCGACGAGCCCCAGGTCCCATCTCTCGTGTACTCGTGGCCACAGGGTTGATATTGGCCCAACCCCGTTCCGGGGCCTCACCATCCATGCGCCCCATTCCCTTGATGAAATTGTGTGAAAATGTTATTTGACATGCAGTGATGTGGGCGGGCAAGTGGAACTTTGGAACAAGAAAGGTCATGACTTTACCGTCACGCGCAAAGTGCATGCGTGATGGGTATCTCGACATCCGGCCCCATAAGTTTTTGCTCCACTGACAAGCGATGTCATAGGAGATGTTTAATACAACGATGTCTTCAGAATGTTGCGCAGTCGAGAAAAATAGGTAATCCATATTGATATACCTGTTTCAAAGGATCAGCGGGAATCATTTCACATCATCGAATACATATACATACTTTTCGCCCCTCTGAAGGTCACCTACTCCAGATGGCCGCTTAAAGTTGTGATGCGAGCAATCCACGGTCCCAGCTCCAGTTGCAGCCAACCCTCGTGCAGTCTTCGTTTCAGCGAGATTCACAGCACTGTGACTAGCACACATGCTTTTCTAAACCGGATGTTTGAGTGATTGTATTGGAACAATAACGCTAACATACCTCTTGTGCGACCATTCCGGCATCAGTTAGAAATTCTTTGAACCCAGTCTCCTCGACGAAATAAGCCCATCCCCTACTCAAACCAGGGTCGATCCTGTCTGAAGAAACGTTCTTGCGTGCCAGGCGGAAATTCGTGTCAATGGCCAGAAAATGTGCATACAGCCACCTGCAGGCATAAGTCTCAGTTAATCAAGTAAGGATGTGAATACATACCATTTGTCCGGAAGCACTGCTTTCCAGTCTTCTGGTAGGTCCTTGCCTGGGTGGGGGCATGCAGGGCAAACAACGGCACATGACCCCTGTTTGGTCGCATCGATGCCAGACGGATCGTGACCTCGGCCGAACCGCTTCAAGAGCTTGAGGTTACGCCATTGCTTGATCATGTGCAAGAGACTGTCGTAACGATCCTAAGGAATCGGTAGTCAGCAAAACATGCTTGGATTGAGACACGCTAGAATTACCTTGCATGGCTTGATGCCTGTATTATCAGTAAGACGCACAAGGGTTTGCCAGTATTTGAAGGCAGATGCTTTAGACTCAAAAGTAAGCATGTGGAAATGCTCAAGAAGACGGAATGTTGCTGCTGATTTTGGATCGGCGCTGGTCGCAGGATACCAGCGAGCTCGCAGGAGTTGTTTGATGTGACTTAGCGCACTCTCACATGAACAAAAATCCAAGGCAAGTTCATGGATGCCGTTAGTGTCAAGAATGACAAAATCATCGTCATAGGCCCGTGAATGATTGAAGCATTGTTCCCCAATGGGGTGGCCAAGCTGGATCCAGAGTCCAAGACACTTTAGTGTGGTGTCCTCGAAGAAGCAACCGTTCCAGAACTGAAGGGGTGATCAACATGCAACAACTACAAACGTATAAACTAGGGTACGTACCTCAATCTTGTGCAAAGGGTTTTCACGGTGCCTGTTTATGATACATGCTTGGCAGTAGAGCTCTGTCCCAAAACAGTCCCAGCAGCAATACACAGGCTCAGACGTGCATTCACTGTGCCCTTGGCAAGTTTCCCTAGAAGCGTAGTCCCCACGACCTTCGAGTCTGATAAGCTCCAGAAGATATTTCTCGCATTCGTCAAGCCAAAGAGCCATTGTGCGGTCCTGTTCAGTTTAAGTTAACTTAAGATATCATACGATTAAAATATATCATACACCGGTTGGCCTGAGACGTTTCTTTGGCCCAACAGTAGACTCCTTCAAAAAATTCTCATATGCAGGATCCACCATGTCATAGTCTACGAGTGAGTCGATGTCGGTGTGACCATACGAATTGAAGCTGAAATCTTCCATAGTTGTATCAGCGCCCGATGGTGGGTGTGAGGCAGGGTGTGAGGCGACTGAAGATGGCAGATGTTCAGCTACAAAGAATTCCGTTTCAGAGGTCATGTTGCTGGAAGATGTACGAGTGAAGCAGGAATGTTTGTGGTAAAGTGTGTGCTCCTCAGCTACACGCCTTTTGGCTTGCTGGTGCTGTCTATTCAGTATATACCAATCTTGCTTAAGCTTGTCCAATGCATGTCGTTTTTTGCTGACCATGATGGTTGGGTGTGGAGGCAACGTTTATGGGTGCTGTGTAATAGTGCAGTGCGTAATAGCGCAGGATGTGGCAGATGCTATGCGGTGCCCAAAAACTCAACATTATGATAAACCTAAGAGTAGTTACAGAGACGCTAATGTCCGTCAATGTGATTTTGATGTCCTCTGCCATACCAACTGATCAGACATGAGAGCATCAAAGTATGTATCTGCGCTATCATCCATTAGTGAGAGTGCTTCATCCCATGCATCACAGTGCAGCTCTACTGCATCAACAGCGGCTGCGGACCCTGAGATAAGATGGTCTGTGCATGCACCCTCTGCATGCAATGCACCTGAAAGTACCTCCCTGGCTTCTGAAAGAAGTTCTTGCGTGTCTGCTACTATGTGTTCATAATTCGGTCTTACAACCTGCCAACCTTCATCAGTCACCTCACGGACAAGCATGAGGCTCTGTGACTTGAGAACCGTGTATTGAGAAAGGCCTGCGTGATAGCCAAGGTTGAGCCATATCGAGTCTAGTCGCGCTAGAAAACTTTGTGTAGCCTGGTCTCGTAGTTTATCTAATTAGTGTAAAGTGTATAATTGATAGTATGAGACATACCACAGTGGCTCCAAGATGCTTGCGCCAACGAGTCCTAGACTTTAAGCGCTCATCGAGCTTGTGCCTACATGAAGTACAATCAATTGTAATCTACACGCTCTGACATCTGAACTCAGAGGCTTACCTTTCATAACATCTGCGCTTGGATGTCAGTCGAGCCTTGCAACATTGTTGCTCGTTCTTATACTTGGGTGGCATCAAGTCAAGCAAAGCAAGGATATCCAAAGAAGAGTGTAGTAACAGTACTTGTGGTTGATGAAGGTGTATGGCCAGGCGTGAGACTTCCTTGAACCATAGTACTACTAACTCAAGCTTAAGGCTAAAAGCATCAGCGCACGAGCACTTCGGGACACATGAAACCGAACATTTACTCAACAACAAATTTGAATAACACACGTAGCCTATGGCAGCTCCTCTTATCATACATATAGTATCCATCGTCAGCACACGAGCACCTCGAGACCCATGAAACTGAACATTTACTCAACAAATTTTGAATAGCACAGTTAGCCAGCTCCTCTTAGTATCTGTTCAATCCAATCACACATGCACTTGTGGTCATTGCGGTTGCTTGATGTCACCATCGGCTGAGTGCATTACAGCGGTAATGATGGTATTTATTGCAAGAAAATGATGCGGCTACAAGATACAAGAATGATGATGTGGCTACATGGTACAAGAACGATGATGCGGATACAAGAAACAAGAAATCACTCTAATACTATGGCAGTGCTAGGCGACATCCCATCATTTGCCAGAAGCGCTATGAGAACATCTGAAACTACATTAAATTTGATTTGAGCAACAGTTGTAACAAATATCATACCAGCGCTGATAATGGGTTTTGCCGGTTTTGTGTCTTCTTCTGCGGGGGTCTTGGCACCGCAGGTGACACAAGAAGGGTGCTCTGAGTCGTCAAGCATCAAGTCAAGCGAAGGAAGATCCCCAGTTGAAGTCCCTTCAAGAACTTTGAAGATTTCTGTGTGTTAGGTAAGATGGTGCTATTGTGACAGAGAAATCAATAAATCCGCTCACCTTCCTGGTCTCTAATGAGCTGTAAAGCTGCTGCTAGTTCATTTATAGTGAATTTTGGGGGTTCCGCAGTCAACGGATGGCAAGTGTTGTTGTTATTCTTGGAATTGCACATTTCAAAATGAACCAGGCGAAATGAGAGTGAGAACAATTTTATCGATCGAAATTTAACTCCGATCTAATGTGCCGTAGGAAGGCAAGGATATGATTGGATGCTCGAGGAGGCTGAACCTTATTTTCATCCTGGACTGTAGTTTGTTTACTGGAAAAAATCCGATGGGCAGCATACAGAACTCCAGCAAAGCAAACTGAAAAACAGGTCAGTGACGATGGCCGAGATCTGGAGATATGCTAATATCGATTACAGCACCTTAAAGCCTCACACCCGATTTGCAAAAAAGGTAAGCGGTGACGAAATACCTGATGAGAGACTCACCGATGACAGCACCTTAAAGCCTCACACCGAATTTGCCAAACCGCTGAGATCGAAAAGGGGTAAGCAGTGATGAAATACCCTGAGGAGATGCTGTCACTAATTGTGGGGTTAGTTTAAGATGGTCGGAGCTCAATGGACAAACAGAGAACAAAAGGCCTACTTGGAGTCGCAATTCAGCGAGTTCTTGAAGCAACAGCTTCAAGGAACTTTGACATCCTTTTGGGATACTGTTAGCCTTGAGTTCTTGAAACAATGGCCTGAAATCGACGTGCAATACCCAGACAAGTCTAAACATCCGCACCTGACTGAGGTAGAGAAAGAGTTGCTGGGAGAGGTGGTGGCTAGGTGCCAACAGGTTTCTACATCTTGTCATGTCATGACGCAACATGCTCATGGTGTCAATAGCAAATTAAAAACTGGTTCAATTATAGATCCCACAAAAGCGGTCGATCGACCCTCAATTTGATGACAAAATGTCATATCCTGTATTTCAGACCTACATCCGATAATATTCCCACGCCTCATCCGGACCTTCGGATGTGCTATCCATGTCTCCAGTACCCATCCGGATCCCTGCACCTCTGCACATCCACATCCGCATGTCCACGTCCAGATCCCTTATCCTTCGCAGCTAGCCTGCATCATTCATCCTTGTCCCATCGCCCTAAATGCCACATCCTATATATCCACGCATCTCATCTGGACCATATCCGATCCGGTCCGATCCGATGTATAGATCCGTTTCCTATCCGATATACGATAAGCTTCATAATTCATTTCCTGTGCATATAACGTTAACACAGCCTATCCGGTATTCCTTGTTACCGGTACCTCGGTTATATCTATTACCGGTATGCTTACTGATCCATTAACCTATGTTCATTTCCGACTCGCGTTTGTCAACCTTTGCATATGCTTCGTACATAGCCTCAGACTCTGCTTATTGATCCTTCCGTTATTTCTCTTAGTATATAAACTCGTGTATATGTCTTGTAGTACCTCAGTCTGAATATCATATTAGTCCTCGCACTAGTCTTCACTCTAAGTCCTCATATCAGTTCTAGTCTTCCAACTTAGTTGTTATCCATCTCAGGCCTAGGGAGTTTCTCCCTAGGCCGGAGCTCTGCTTATCCGATACTCCGCTCATCCGCTCATCCAATCCTCCGTAGTTTCCGGAAGTTCATCCGGATCTTTCCCGCGGTCCTCCGGACCAATTCTGCTTCGGACTTTGTCCTTGCAGCCTTTCCTCTGTTTACTTCTACTCAGGACAAGTCCCGAGTAGCCATTATACATATCTGTATCAGGACGAAACCTCATCGTAATTTCCGGAAGTTACTTGCATCCGTCCGGAAAGTCCTTCCGAAGTTTCCTGCGCCTTCGGATGTCCTTCGGACGTCTTCGGACTTTCCTCGGACACCAATCTGAAATTAAGGGCACATACTCAGGTAGGGGGCGCAGCGCACGAGCTGAAGCCAAGCCCCTCAGAATCAGTCCTACCCTTTGTGCATGGTCTTAACACAAAATCAATCAACAAGATGCTTGGCAATAAAGCGAAAGGAACGCGAGTTCATATGGAAGCTGAAATATTCTCCAAAATGAACTATGACACTGACGTACAGGCAAAGATCCAGGAGAAGATTGAGTCTGGGCTGCTGGTAACAAAAAACGAAAAACTACTGGCAGTGTGGGAGACGACCAAGGCTGCATATGAGGCTGCTTCATCTGAAATCAAGTCCTTATGTAAGACGAAGGCTGCCGAGGAGCAGAATGCCAAGATCTCGGCGATGTTGCCAGGGGCACGAGTGACTGAACAACCTACCAATGCACAGTACGTGAAGTAAGTAAATCCTTGAAGTTTTCATCTCTCACTCACATCTATGATTGTTAGGGTGTTAGAAGAGTGTATCGGTCCAATCTCTCAATTTTTGGATGCGGTGAGGCAACTTACTGGCTGGGAGTGGACGGTCATTGGTGGAGGCCCAGACCCTCGCCTTGGTGGTATGCTCAATGTATCGAGGTATGAGAATTTGTGCTTTTTGACCCTCGTTGCCCTCTAATATTAGCTCCCCAGCTATCATACAGGTGTCAACGAATCTGGTCTTACATGGAAGCAGGCAACACCGAATTTTACAGAGAAACATCTGAACCCTTATCTGGGTTATCTTGCGACAGTATTCAGTACGTGTTTCTTTTTTATTTAAATTCATTCGCTAATGGGACTACAGGCGAGGATGACAGGAAAAGGTGTGCTCTAGACTACGTCCCTCCAGTGGTGCAAGATGAGAACACCTCATTGGAAGATGCAGTGCCAACAACGTCAGAGAGCACACAATTGCACGTGCCATTCACATCGGATTCGGCACAATCATTCACATTGCACATTGTCGCAGGTCCAGGATCCGCTGGTGGATCCAGTGGAGTGGCAGTCACAGGTCCTCCTATCATCCCTCAACCTCAACTCAACTCACAAGGACCCGAGTTTCCGTCATTCAACAATGGCATGTATTCTTTCTCTGGTGAGAATTCTGGGACTCTCCCCCAGTTGACGCTATCGCCTGTCCTTCAAACGCCAACACTGCCAGGGGGATCATTCCCATCCAATTCCACATTAGCGCTTCCTTTGCCATCTCTCTCACCTATCACATCATGGAATGAGGGGTACTGGAACTTGATGCCACCGCTTCATATGGCCCCCTTGAATCAATCCGACGTACTTCCCTATAACTTCAACTTCTATTCTCCCCCTTCCTTGGACGGTGCACATGGAGGCCAACCTCACATCGTTTCAAACCAACCTCATGTCGTCCAACCTCACATCGTTTCGAACCCCATCAACTTCCCTAGTACCACAGCACTAAATCCTTCTTACATGGATACTTCTCTGCAACAACCAGCCCTTCACAATGTGACTGCTCACGCTCCCCAGGCCAACAATTCTGCCTTGAATCCTACGACGTCCGCTGCCCTGGAACAACCCAGGCAAGTACAAGCTGGAGTGGACAAGCACATGTGTGCTACTTTGGCATCCGCTGCCCTGGAACAAGTACAAGCTGGAGTGGATGAGGTAGACGAGTGCGTGTGCGCTACTTCAGCTGGTGAGAATCGTGCTAAGAATAGTAGAGTGAGCAAAGAGAAGCATCCGCATCGAGTGGCAGTTCAGCCTTCTACTGAGCTTTCTACCTCGGATGATACCATAACGGTGCCTCTACGCAAGACAACGCGGGTCCGTCAAGAGTCAACTCGTATGGCCCAGGCAAATATGATAGGTGCAACCATGAAGAGACCTCACATGGGCGAAAACGAGAGCGTCCCTCAAAAGAAGTAGGTGTCAATATTAGATTCGTTGTATTATGCTCATTTAATCACAAGGAAACACAAATCTACCTGAGTCATGGCATCGCTTTGAATCAGTTGGTCACTGAATGTTGTTTCTTGGTGTTTTTTGTGTTGCGCCTACATAGTACGAGACTCCATACATAATCTAATACTGTTAATCCTGCAAGCGTGTATTTAAAACCGTCTTCACTACTCAATACATGTTAATTTCTTGTCACTAGTATATACAGCTTTCGTCTCAGTGCACTTGTTTATATCATTAGCAAAAATAGGTGCGCATAAAAGGTACTGGACTTGTTGAAAAAATAGGTGCACATACAAGTTGCTAGACTTAGTGAAATTTCTTGCTCAAATCTTGATCTCGATCACATCAAATCAAGAACTTGCGGGAGAAATGGCCCTAACTTCTTCGCATCAAGGAGAAACATGCTTATATGATGTATAATATCAAAATGTACATCAAGGAACATAACAACTAACAGCTGGGTCAAGAACAGAGCTGATATGGCAACCCACAAGCACAAAAACAGACGAGAAGCTGGGAAATGAAGACAAGAACCTAAGAGGCACTGAGGGGAGATGCCAGGAAGGGAAGGGAAACGGCAGCCAAGGAGGAAACAAACGCACAAAGGGATCTAGCCTGCCAAACAAGGTGCGTCTAAGGTTTTATGCATCGTGGGAAGCCCTGGGGAAGGCCAGCCAAGTGCACAAAGGGATCTAGCCTGCCAAACGAGGTGCGTCTAGGGTTTTATGCATTGTGGGAAGCCCTGGGGAAGGCCAGCGAAGGAGGAACCAAATGCACAAAGGGATCTAGCCTGCCAAATGAGGTGCATCTAAGATTTTATGCATCGTGGGAAGCCTTTAAGCATCATGGCAGACACACGAAGTTTTGAAGCATCAAGGTGCTTCTTTGAAGCATCAAGCTATAGCTTTGAAGCATCAAGCTACACACATCAGCAAACTAGACACTTTTTGCATCACACTTCGTGTCTAATCACACTTATTTAAGCTTCAATCTGACAGTATAGCCTGTTGTCTTAGTGCGCGGGATGTGAAACACTCGCATTTGGAGGTTGTTGCGGTCTCTGTCTATCCGCATGTCCGATAACTTGACGTGGATGTTTGGGTCGAAGGCGGAGAGATTAGGTACCGTGAATTTGCCGACGCGGGCAGTGCAGTAGAAAGCGGTGACGAGGCAACCGAAGACGGAAGCGTCTATGGGGGAGTCGAGGTCGAGGTGTTCGCGCAGGGAACAAATGAACTCTACCGTGTATGGGCGCCGCTTTTTCCGTTTTGAGGTCGACGGGGTTAGATTCTCTGTTGCTTTCAAGAGTGCGTCGATTTGGATGTCGTCGAGTGACCAGTTTAACCCATGCAAGATATGCCATGCGCGAACGCTGAATATATAGTTCGTGATGGTCTTACCGGAGTATGAGCCTGCAGCAGCGGCAATGAAGGTGAAAATGAGCGTTGATGATGCTGGAGCCCGGTCAAGTTCAGGTATTGATTGAGAGTCACAGAAGACATGGTATACAAGCAAACCTGAACCGTAGGACTCATGAGTGCTCGCCGCCCAGGCGTGGCACATCATGTCCTGGATGCAAGTCAAGTCGTTGGCTGAGAGAGAGTGTGGTTTTGCTCTTGACATGGCCGGGAGCCACAAACGAAGGCGCTCCTTGGCTGAGCAGTGTGGGCGAAGTGAGGAGGGGAGCAGGTTGAGACTAGTAGGATAAGCTTAATGAAGTGTTGGTTAGTCTATTGAAAACATTCTAAGTATGGGAACGCACTAAGCTTGCGACGCTTGGTAGAGTTCCTCCCCTTGTCGCTCGAGGGCTCTGTTTGCAAGAGCACGCTCGGTGTTCCCACGCGGGGTACGGGTTTTGGGGTGAGCGGGAAGCGTGACCGGTTGGCTGGGACTAGTGATGTTCCAGCCCGGTGTAGAAGAGGAATCTTGACTATACGTGAAAACACTTAAAACAAAAGGGTGCTCAACAGCAAGACCAGGATACGAGACAACGACTCGACCCAAAGGACAACCACTGAGAGAAGTTCCTCGAATAAAAGTAGAGGGAAACTCTATGAGCTAGGCGGGCGCTAACAGGCGCGAGAAGATAAGGCGCGCGTGATGCGTGCATGAGCGGGAGGTTTGAGAATGTGCGCGCGCGAAGCGAAGGCGCGCCTTGAGCGTTTAAAAGAAAGGTCCTATTGAGGAGTGAATGCACAGATGGATGATTGACAGGAGAATAGGATCTGATAACAAGTGAGGAGGTGATCTATACACTTTCCAGTACACAAGGATAAGGGGAAAGTAAGTACCAGAACCAAAGGAAACCCTTCTGTATTTAAGAATGGAGATTACGCTAAGTGGCGTGCTTCCGAGCGCGCCCCCGAACCGAGTAACCATATCAACTCTAATTATAACTAAGTTTAAATAGACTTTCTATATGTAGCGCAGACGTCGGACTGAAGATTTCATTAGTTCAATGGACAAGATAGGAATAACGCACCAGTGAATCAGTAAGGACATGGGATGAATGGACAGACAATAGCGCGAAGACCTAGGAGAAGGTGCGCGAAGCGCGCATAGCGCGTGCGCAGGTAAGGCGTGCCTAAGTGCGCGCGAGTACGGATAAGGCGCGTGTGAGTGCGTGCAAGACTGGTCCTTAGGATTAGAGCTGTAGCATATAGGAATGTATGGGTAAAGGCCGGATATTCAGCATTGAGACGTGCAAGTCTCTACATCTCCTGGGGACATTCTGAGTGTCCCCACTCAGTGCTATAGCACGGGATCTTGGACTTAGAGAGGTGATGATAGACAGGGATCAGGTGATCGCGAGAGTAGGGTTGTCCTTTGATGATCGCGAGCATCGATGATGTAATCGGAGGAGATGTTGATAAGAAGATGGACGCGTTCTCGCAATCTCTTGACTTCTTCCTTATCAATCTCTCATCATGCCTACTTTCAATGTTGCTATGTTGAACGCCACTCCTTCCCCTGAGCCTGTTCTAGTGGCGCAAGGACTACCTGAGGACGCACCTATGGGCGACGCTAGCGCGGAATCTGATACCGACCGCCTCTTCACCGCTTGGGCTTCCATCCTAGTTTCCCTGGAAGGATGTGTGATGTCCGCGCCTGAACTCAAGCCGGAACTCCTTGAGGATCAGGAGATGTGGTTGCGCGAGTGGTATTCTGTGCTGGTGAGTGCGCTTACATGTCTAGATCTATTGTAGCCTAACATTCCTAGGCCACCTTGAACGATTGTTCCACACGCGCGGGTGTGTTGGCGGTGGCGCTGGAGATGGACGACAAGAGCGTGGAGTTGTTAAAGCAGGGGCGGAAGAGTTGTAAGGAGATTGAGGCGGTCGTGAAGGACTGGAAGGCGAGGGCGATTGTGTCAGTTCCACAGGCACCTCCCATGCAAGCTGCACGCGCCACTGACGCGTCTGGTACTGATGCCAGCAAGAAGGTGCGTCTTCTGTTTCCTGTTGGCGCGCCACTCTATTAACATGTTTGGTTGCGCTAGCTGCGCGTCGGGCGCATGCCTGTGGTCAAGGTGCAGCGCTGTGGCGCCTGCATTGCCAAGGACATAGACTGTGGAGGCGCGCCTGGATGCCAGTGCCCTCCTTGTGATGTTTCCAAGTGTGCTTGCACTTTCTGTAAGTCGTGCCTCTTGTCTATTGTTGGCGCGCACCACTGACTGCTGTGGATTAGCTAAGTGCAACATAACTGATGCGCCTGAGGCGTGCCCACGCAAACCGATGCCTAAGCGCCCTATTGCTGAGTCTGCAAAGGAGACCGCTTCCTCCATTGCTGTTGAGGATGAAGAAGAATCTGAGGAGTCTGAGATGGATGTGGAGATTGTTGGAGAGCGCTCTGTGGAGGAGAAGGTCGTGAGCGCCTTGCGCGATATTCCTGTGCGCGCCGTTGGTCCTTTGGCGTCTGGTTCTGCGCCTAAGGGAAAGGACAAGTTCAAGGATCCAGCGGTGGAGTTGAAAGAGGTGCGCGCGGAATCCGTGCGTTTGAAGGAGGAAAATGTGCACTTGCGCACTTCCACTCTCCAGATGCGCCAGTATGCGCGCGCCCAACAGGCGGAACTCCTCAACTATTCCAACAAGTTTTTCGCTATGTCCAACGTGTGGGCTGAATTGGAGAGGCAGATCAATAACTCCCTTAATTAGATGCACCTCTCTTTTGTTTTTCTTGTCTCCTAAGCGCCAATGCGCCTGTATAAAAATCCCTGTGTTGTCTTGTTCCATGTCCATGTCCATGTCCTCATCTGATTCACTGGGCTTAATAATTTAAAATTATAAGTATGTAAGTAAGTGACAAGTGCGCGACGAGATCAAGGTAATGCGATGGACTTTACTGAATTTTCTGCGGGGTGCGCGCTGACCTGCACCAAACTGGTTCGGTGCATGGATGACTAATACTCTCCTATGAGCCCTATGCCCTATGAAATCATTTTTCCTGTGATCTGAAGTCAGACTAAGGCTAAGGGAATATCTTTCGCTTTTTTTTCATTTTACGAGATTATACACGAGTGGACTGAATATTTTTGTACATTTATTTTTGCAATGAGTTTTGCTTAGTCAGCCATGAGGATGACTCAGAAAGATTCTCACACATATCAGGTGACTATGAAAAATATGTTTTTTGCATAAGGTTACCCTGTGGGAAAGCTTACAAATCCTTAAATACGCATCTTATGTCATTATGCTACCAATCAATTTATCAGCCACAGATTGCACAAACATATGTACACAATATGTAATCACTTTCTCACTCCTTGTCTAGCTGAGTCATCAAGGGACACCTGACCCATGGGCTATACACAGCTCTTGCTGGCTCATCATTATACCAACAAGAGTTATGAATATTTACTTTTTGACTCAAAGATATTGTGTGACTTGGTACTATCACAGTAAAGTTACAACTTTAAGTACGAGAAACTAGTAGTATAGCCACCAATTTGTCTATATAAGGAGCTG